TAGCAAGGAGAGACAAGACGGCCTTCTTAAATGAATGATGTAAAGAAATAGAGGAAAATAATAGAAAAGGAAAAACCGGAGATCTGTTCAAGAAAATTGGAGATATTAGAGGAACATTTTGTGCAAAGATGGACATAATAAAGGACAAAAATGGGAGGGACCTAACAGAAGCAGAAGACATCAAGAAGAGGAGACCATCTCATGAGAAGAGAAGATTCCTTGGAAAAGACCTTGATGTTAGGAAAGTGTGAAGGCAAGAGGAGAAGGGGACGACAGAGGATGAGATGGTTGGACAGCGTCATCGAAGCAGCCAACATGAATTTGACACAACTCAGGAGGCAGTGGAAGATAGGAGGGCCTGGCGTGCTCTGGTTCGCGGGGTCACGAAGAGTCGGACATGACGAAAACTACTCCCAGGGCAACAGGATCTTGAGCTAGGCATTAGTACGGGCCACTTATAGTGGTTTTCCTCTGACTTAGGCCTGCTTGTACAGCTATCCCATGGTGATTCCTTTAACATTGATCAAACACACTTGTGCTCCTATGCTTTGACTGCTGCAGTAAATGAAGCTGTTGGGCACATTTGAGAAACAATGGCTTAACTATTGATCTTGCATTATACTTGGGAGAAGAGTTGTTTCTGTGGGAATGGGGCCTTAAGCAGAAATAAATACTTTGACCTGTAACTAGTAATCCCACATGTGTACATTCAGTTTAATCAAATAATCCTGCAGTCAAATAGTTCAGGATTAGTATTTGTGTAACATGTGAGGAGTTAGGTGACTATTGTAGCATAGAATAATTGTGAAAGTGCCAGGACAATAAGCTTCATAAAAATGTGTTGTTTCAAATTATGTCAACAGAAGTGGCTAAGACTTCAGACAGAACATTCCTCTAAACTAGAGGATCCTAATGTATGTTCATTTTGGGATACAGGAGAAATTATGGAAGTAGAAATTGTTCAGGAATCACTGAGTTAAAGATAAAATGAGTTCATAGAAGCAAAGGATGAAAATGTCAGGAGGACAAATATTCATGATTGGTATTTAGTTGAGAACAGCTTGAGCACAATTGGTTTTAAACACATTAGGATGGGCTATTAGGATTTTCAATTTTATTGGCCTTATGCCCCCTTTCTAATTTTTGAGAAACCTTCATGCTTCCCCAACTTTGTTGTTATTGTTCAGTCATTAAGTCTGTCCAACTCTTCGTGACCCCCATGGACCAGAGCACACCAGTCCCTCCTGTATTCCACTGACTCCCGGAGCTGGGTCAAAGTCATGTTGGTTGCTTCGATGACACTGTCAAACTATCTTGTCCTCTGCCACCCCCTTCTCCTCTTGCCTTCACACCTTTCCCAACATCAGGGTCTTTTCCAGGGAGTCTTCCCTGGGCTATTTGAATCTTTCTTAATAATCAGCAATCCGTCTCTGTACATGTACTTCTCAAATGGAAAATATTTTGCAGAAAAACACTGTTTTGCAAATGAAGAATCTCAAGAGTTTTAAAATGTGGTGTGGACATGTCTTATCCTGTCAGGAGAGCCTACATTTATAACCTTGAGGAATGTAGCATTGTTTCCATTCATACTATGAACTGTGTTCAATGTTATATTCTTCCATATAATTCTGAGAGGACAGCAGCCTGAGACACTTTCCATCCTAAGGTGGCTCATAATTCAATGTCATAGTTATGTAGCTTTACTCTGTTTTTATTCCAGAGGAATGTCACACATATTTCCCACATCTGAACAGAATTTAAATAAGTTACATCTATTTCTTCTAAAAGGTAGTGATTGTGATCGTACTGGGATTTAGTATTTTCCAACTACTGGTAATGCTGTCATTTTGGTAAATGTTAGACTAGTGTTGACAGTTATTTTATTGATGTTAGAAGTCAGAAAACATCTTCATTCTCCATAAGAAGTTACTTCTTGTCTGTACATACTGTATGCTCGTTTGTCACTTCATTAATTGCTTCTTAATATGTTTTACTTGTTAATTGGAGCGGTGTTATACTTCCACCCAGTTATTAGCAGCAATAGGTTAACTTTTCTCTCTCTCTCAAAATGACATGTAGCCATTTCTACGTACGTACGTACGTACGTACGTACGTACGTACGTACGTACGTACGTACGTACGTACGTACGTACGTACGTACGTACGTACGTACGTACGTACGTACGTACGTACGTACGTACGTACGTACGTACGTACGTACGTACGTACGTACGTACGTACGTACGTACGTGCCAGTTGTTCATGATTGCTCCTCAGGGATGGGCTGAAACTCCCTAGTCTGGCAGCTGCTGCCTGTGTCTCATTTTCTGAGAGGGCAGAGAAACTGACTAAAGATCATGCTGTTGTTTTTGTGGCTATTATTTTACCTCTCCTGGGTGTTTCTTCTCTGCCAGGTGAGAAAAAGAGAGCAAGAGAAGGGCAACTTAAGACCACAGGCAAAATGACATTGCAGTAATGTATTTCTGCTGAACACTGTTGCTGAATATATTTGCCCTTTCTGCAAAGGAACTGTCCCTATGCATATGGAAGCAATTATGCCAAGTCTGGTGCACTGAGGAAAGAGGTGGGAAGGCAAAGAAGTCAAGTCAAGTGTGCAGAATGTATGCATAGTCAATCAGATGCTAAAACATACTAGCATGTGGACTTCTCCCTTGGAATTCCCTACTTTTTTTAAGACAAAGGAACCCCTAAGAAAGCTTTCAGCTTTAGTCAGTAATTTTACCCAGTACTGTAAAAGTTTGCGCACACACTCAGCTACTCTTGATTTGACCTGAGACATTTTGAGCCATAGTATGCTTTTCCTCCACAATCTTGCCAATAACCAGCTATTACACTTTATGCCTGCTGCTGCATGATCTTATTTCTTACAGTGTTGTATAGACCGGTGGTCCTCCAGATGTCCTCCAACTCTCAGAAGCCTTCACCACTACCTCTGCTGGCCAGGAGTTTTGGGAGTTGAAGTCTAAGAACATCTGGAGGCCCAGGGTTGGGGACCACTGGTATAGCTCACATTTTGCTTCTGTCCTGTGATTGTATTTTGACTTTTTCTACCTGCAGCAAACAGTTTGGGGTTTTCCTTTTCTTAATATCTGACATGACCAACCTTTTATTAAAACAAAGAAACAGGATTGCTAAAATTAGTTACCAGCTTCTTATGTTAATGTCAATGCCTTAATTGTTACTCTAGTTAAATTTGACATACGTGTGTAAAATATGTTTTGAAGGCTATGTTTCTTGAGCTAATGTTAGAATGTATGTAAGTAGGTCATTCTGTTCCAGCATTTTGCAAGTAAGTGCTGGCTTTCCATATCACACGACACACATACAGTACTGCATTCTAGATCCACAACCTGGCCATTGCGTCTTAGTGCTCTTTCTGTTGCGAAAGAGAGCAAGAGTGAAACTGCACAATACAATACAGATGGTAGCACATTGTTTTCTTCTGATTAAGATATTTCAGCAGAGTGGTAGTTTTGCATTTAGAGCTCTTTTTCACTCTCCAGGTGTGACTAGACAATTGTTGCATTGCATAATATATTTTTCTACTGTTATTCTACTGTTGAGGAATATTTTCAGATAATAAATATGAAAATTATATATATTGTACTGCCTCGGGGCTTAAAATTTATATGTACTGTATATAGATTTAGCTGTTCATCTGTGAATTTTGCAGTGTTACACTAGCAAATCTTAGTGTGCAGGAGTCCAATCATTTCCAATGTTGTAATTGTAGTCTGTTTTGTATCTTTATTCCACTTATCTTTGAAAACATGTCTTGGGTCAAGCTGTGATTCTAATCTGTAATGCAAATAGTGTTTTGTTTTTAATTTTCTTTTTATTATTATCATATCACCTGGGTTCAGCTTATAATCATTTGTTAATACAACCACAATACATATTAAGCTCTTAATCTATACAACATGCTTCTGACCATTGATAAAACAAGTTCCATGTTTGATAATATTGTGCATCTTCCTTTCCTTTGATTTTCAATCCTTTTGAGTGTCTTGATTATGCACCCAGGCATTAATCAGTGGTTTCTTTCCCCCCACCCCCAGCCTACTGATTGTGGAGGGAAAGGAATAATTTCTCCATCCATCATATGTCTAAAATACTGCTAATTCCTGCTGAAGTGTATATATAATATGATACTGCCTGATATACAAACCAAAATCTTATTGTATTCACGAAGGCTTTCACGGCCGGGATCTAATGGTTGTTGTGGGTTTTTTGGGCTCTTTGGCCGTGTTCTGAAGGTTGTTCTTCCTAACATTTCGCCAGTCTCTGTGGAGCCAACTCCCAAGTCAACTACACCAGAGCACAGAGTGCTGTCCTCTGAAGATGCCGGCCACAGAGACTGGCGAAACGTTAGGAAGAACAACCTTCAGAACCTGGCCAAAGAGCCCGAAAAACCCACAACAACCACAAAATCCTATTGCTTAGTATAGTTAATGGCACTACAGTAGGCCCATGGAATCAGTGAGGACTTAGTAAGTCAACTCCTCCATAAGTTCCATTAACACATATGGGCCCACACTAACTGTGACGTATTGTCCTAAAGTAAGTTATAGAGTAGTCCCACTTGAATCAATGGAACTCATAGAGGGGTTTACTTACAAAACCCCCGTTGATTCAGCAGGCCTATGGTTGACTACACTAAAGAATAGGATTTTTGCCCCAGTGTTTTGTAATGGTTTGACTTTACTGAAACCCTTTCAGTGCAGATTGGTTTTTAAAATGGTAGATCCCAGGCTTGGTTATTTATCTCTTCCATGTTCACTTTAGTCATATTAGCTATTCTCTGCACTAGTAAAGTTTAGGTGTGTGAATTCTCTAAGTTTTTTTCACATCTCCTTAATTAAAAAATCCAAACCCTGGAAAAGTTGCCATTGTTGGACTTCTGTATGAATTAATTTTAAAAGGATCATATTCCCCCCCCATCAGGCATATCCTGACATATTGCTTTTCTTTCCTTCAAGTTGGGTTTGAAGATTATGGACCAGATTGTGATAGCATGAGGATAACTGCATTCTTGGACATTCCAGGGCAGGATAATTTGGCTCCACTTGCACGTCTGGAAAAATACGCCTTTAGTGATAATATATTTAACAGGTAACATTGAAGAAAATTGTGCTCGTGTCATTTATGTGAACTTTCCTTGTGTTTTTCACAGACGTTTGGTCTATGTGATTTTTGAAATACCCATTTTAACCACAGATACTTTGAACATGTAATAATATTTTATAGCTATGAATCTAAATATTGATATTTCTGTTGGTTTCCTCTACCAACGCACTGCAAATAAAACATGGCCCCTTTTACTTCTTATGTGGGAATATTTAGAAAGGCCAGAATGGTGATAGGAAGTTGCTGCTTTATCATCTGAAGTGAAGTTGGAGTGGACTTGATTGGGGCAGTGCTTGCATTGCATTGCAGTTCCTTGCATTGCTGGAATATATGGGTAGGAATAATGAAGCTGTAACGAAACAGCAAACATACACTGAGTTTTGTTGTTTTGCCACATTATGCTTCCTAAAAACAATTGCAAAGATTTCCAGCATAAAAGGTAGGCTGCCATATTCCTTTTTGTCTGTTCTGAAATTTGAACTGTGTCCATAGCAGTTTCACAGAGAAGCTCATGATGCCCAAATGAGGTCACTAGATCTCATACTTCTGCATTATTGTTTGATTCTTCTGGATTATCGTGTGAGTTCTTACAGAGCAAATCAGATAAAAATGGTGAGGGTAGATAATGGTAGCTGCAAGAGTGGATCAGTCTTTAATTCTTTCCCTTAGTGATCTTAGCCGTTATCAAACTCAGTTCAGATTTTATCCAGACTATAGTTTATAATAACTGGGAAAGTTCCAGAAGTTCCCATGCACCTTCCTTCCCTGACATTCATAATTTCTTTCTCCATTTCTGAGTGGAACTAAAATCAGACAAACTGAGAATCAGGTCATGACATGAAAAAACCATGGCTTCAGGTAGTTCTTATGGTTATTGGAATCTAGAAATTGAGGAGGAGATTGGTCCATGAGAGCAGATATAGGTTACAGCCTGTTCCTTGTCCTCCAAACCATAAGAACAGAGAGGGAGAAATCATTTAGCACTTTCAGCAGCAGTGCAATAATATGATTTCTAAGATACAATTACAGATTTTGGTTGGAGTGAGTTATTAAAATACCTTCATACTTTTCTGATGCAGAAACAGTTGCTAAAGTTTGTATAATAGAGTTTTTAGTACACGGATCTCTATTTGTATTTTGTGTTGCATACACAAATGGCAACCAGATTGTTTAATGTCAATTAAATTACTGTAGTTTCTTCTTCATGGTCTCTGTGAATCAAATGCATGGGTACTTCTGCCCCTGCACAAAACACTCTTGGAAACATTCTAGAGCTTTGCCCCTCCCTTCTCCAGTATACTTCTCCACCCGATGGTCTTCCCTCAGTTCTCTTCTAATAGCTTCTTGGGAATGTCTGGAGCTTACTGGTTCAATAGAAGACTGAATATAGCTTTGCGATTTATTCATGTTTACCTAGCTTCTGGTCATAGTTGATCAGCTTATCTTTTAAACTTAAAGTTATTAGTTGTTAATAATCTTCATGTTTATGGCCCCAAAGGGCCTGTTCAAACATTGCATATCTTGTGGCAGCAAGATACCACATTCTGACGGTCATATTAAGTGCGTCTGTTGCCTGGGTGAAGGCCATCAGATGCAAAACTGCAAGATTTGGCATAATTTAACAAAAGTGGCATTAGAAGAATAAATAGTCTTGTTTAAAAATTTTCCTATTGGAACAATCGTTGAAGGATATTGATTCAATTTTGAAAAAACAGGACAACAAATAGTTGTCTTTAATGCTCCGTCGAAAAGTCTAATCTGTCCATACAGAACCTGCTGAGTCAGTTCCGAGTAAAGACATAAATTGCAGCTGGTGATATCAAAAGCAGTCCACATCTAAAAAGATAAAGAAGAAAGACAAAATTAACATTTGTGGTAGTTCATCCCTGTATACCAGTGACTACATCTAAGTCCATAAACCCTGAGGAGATAGTTAGTCTGAGGAGGAAGCTAGCCCTTCAGGCTGAAAAATAGAGTTATTGCCAAGGAGCATTGTTGGATCTCCATTTCAGAGTCAATAAGGGAGGGGGAGGGAATCACATTTTGAACCAACAAATATAATTCAATGGGTCAATGAGATTTTGAACTCAATGAGAGGGCATTTCTGCCAAAGGAGAGGATGAACAGAACAATTTCCGGTGGCTTAAAACTTCAAGTCAGGCAGAAAAATTACTGCTCACACTGGAAGTTATTGAGTCTAATGATGTTGACTACAGCATTTGTAGCTCACGTGAAACATAGGATGTGACCTCTTCAGGCAGAGATGTTGTCATCTTTCAACAATATAAAGGAAAAAAATTAACTGACAGGAAAGTTGGCACTTCAGTTTTGATGGTGGCAGGAAAGAACCAAATTACAGATGAGCATGCTGTTCAGAACACTAAGACATCTGTAATAATAATACCAGGATGGGGTGCTCATTAATGTCTAAAAGAAAAGACTCAGTACATAAATCATCTAGAAGTGTTTGTTGTTTAGTCATTAAGTTGTGTCCAACTCTTTGTGATCCCATGGACCAGAGCACGCCAGGCCCTCCTGTCTTTCACTGCCTCCTGAAGTTGGATCAAATTCATGTTGGTAGTTTTGATGACACTGTCCAACCATCTCGTCCTCTGTCGTCCCCTTCTTCTCTTGCCTTCACACTTTTTTCAACATCAGGGTCTTTTTCAGGGAGTCTTCTCATGAGATGGCCAAAGTATTGGAGCCTCAGCTTCAGGATCTGTCCTTCCAGTGAACACTCAGGGTTGATTTCTTTCAAAATGGACAGGTTTTTTCTCTTTGTTGTCCAGGGGACTCTCAAGAGTGGCCTCCAGCACCGCAATTCAAAAGCATCAATTCTTCGGCGGTCAGCCTTCTTTATGGTCCAACTCTTACTTCCATACATTGCTACTGGAAAAACCATAGCTTTGACTATGCGGACCTTTGTTGGCAAGGTGATGTCTCTGCTTTTTAAGATGCTGTCTAGTTTGTCATCGCTTTCCTCCCAAGAAGCAGGGATCTTTTAATTTCATGGCTGCTATCTCCATCTGCAATGATCATGGAGCCCAAGAAAGTAAAATCTGTCACTGCCTCCATATCTCCCCCTTCTATTTGCCAGGAGGTGATGGGACCAGTGGCCATGATCTTAGTTTTTTTTCCATGTTGACCTTCAGACCATTTTTTGCACTCTCTTCTTTCACCCTCATTAAGAGGTTCATTAATTCCTCCTCACTTTCTGCTATCAGAGTGGTATCATCTGCATATCGGAGGTTGTTGATATTTCTTCCGGCAGTCTTAATTCCAGTTTGGGATTCATCCAGTCCTACCTTTCGCATTATTTATTCTGCATGTGTTAAATAAGCAGGGAGACAATATGCAGCTTTGTCATACTCCTTTTTCAATTTTAAACCAATCAGTTGTTCCATGTGCAGTTCTAACTGTTGCTTCCTGTCCCACATATAGATTTCTCAGGAGATAGATAAGGTGGTCAGGCACTCCCATTTCTTTAAACTTGCCATAATTTGTTGTGGTCCACACAGTCAAAGGCTTTTGCGTAATCAATGAAGCAGAAGTAGATGTTTTTCTGGAACTCTCTGGCTTTCTCCATAATCCAGCACTTGTTAGCAATTTGGTCTCTAGTTCCTCTGCCCCTTCAGAATCCAGCTTGTACTTCTGGGAGTTCTCGGTTCACCTACTGCTGAAGCTTGCCTTGTAGGATTTTGAGCATAACCTTGCTAGCATGTCAAATGAGTGCAGTAGTTGGAGCATTCTTTGGCACTTCGCTTCTTTGGGATTGGGATGAAGACTAAGACTGATCTTTTCCAATCCTCTGGCCACTGCTGAGTTTTCCAAACTTGCTGGACTATTGAGTGTTGCACCTTAACAATGTCATCTTTTAAGATTTTAAATAGTTCGATTGGAATACTATCACCTCCACTGGCCTTGTTGTTAGCCACGATTTCTAAGGCCCACTTGACTTTACTCTCCAGGATGTATGGCTAAAGGTCAGCAGCCACCCTATCTGGGTTGTCCGGGACATCCAAATCTTTCTGATATAATTCCTCTGTGTATTCTTGCCACCTCTTATTGATGCCTTCTGCTTCTATTAGGTCCCTCTGGGCGGCTTACAATAATTGTCAAACAAAGTTTACAGACTTATAACACAGAAAAGGGGGTGGGGTGGGGTACAACAAGTTGACCTCTTTGCAACAAATGCAAAGTACACTGTTCATGGGCTGGAAAGGGCAAAAACTTTATGGAAGATGTGTTTTCTTAAACATGGTCGAAAACTCATGTATTTGATCCCTCTTTATCCTTTAATACATCAAACAAAAATCGCCAGTCATGGTTTACAACTCCTTTACTGATGGTGAAGGAAAATGTAAGACTGCCGGTGATTACAAATTTGATAGCTTGTCACCAGAGGAAGGTCCATCATCTTGATGTGGAGAAATTCAAATTTACAACTTGTAGTATTTTTCCTCAATAGTGAGAGTTTTAAGGGAATCTAGAAAGAAATCAACTAAAATATTATTACTGGAAGTGGAAAAATTATAGAATATACAGATTCTATAAAAGAGTTAGTTATACTTTTCTGAATCGATACATTGTGTACTGCTTTTCTTCTTACAGTGGACCCTCTACTTACGGCTATCTGGGTTGTCCGGGACATCCAAATCTTTCTGATATAATTCCTCTGTGTATTCTTGCCACCTCTTATTGATGCCTTCTGCTTCTATTAGGTCCCTATCATTTTTGTCCTTTTATAATATCCATCTTTGTTCAAAATGTTCCTTTAATACCTCCAATTTTCCTGAGCAGATCTCTGGTTTTTCCCTTTCTATTATTTTCCACTATTTCTTTGCACTGTTCATTTATTTTGCACTGTTAATTTAAGACGGCCCTCTTGTCCCTCCTTGCTATTCTTTGGGAGTCTGCATTCAATTTTCTGTAACGTTCCCTATCTCCCTTGCATTTTGTTTCCTCTCTCTTTTCTGCTATTTGTAAGGCCTCGTTGGACCGCCACTTTGCTTTCTTACATTTCCTTTTCTTTGGGATGGTTTTTGTTGCTGCTGCCCATAGTTCTTCAGGCACTCAGTCCACCAAATCTAGTTCCTTAAATCTGTTCTTCACTTCCACTGTGTTTTCATAAGGTTTAGATTTGATAGCTTGTCACCAGAGGAAGGTCCATCATCTTGATGTGGAGAAATTCAAATTTACAACTTGTAGTATTTTTCCTCAATAGTGAGAGTTTTAAGGGAATCTAGAAAGAAATCAACTAAAATATTATTACTGGAAGTGGAAAAATTATAGAATATACAGATTCTATAAAAGAGTTAGTTATACTTTTCTGAATCGATACATTGTGTACTGCTTTTCTTCTTACAGTGGACCCTCTACTTACGGAATTAATCCGTATTGGAATGGTGTCTGCAGGTCGAAAAGTCTGTAAGTCGAGTCTCCATTGACCTACAATGCATTGAAAACCAATTAATCCCGTAACTGGCCGTTTTTGTTCCATTTTGGTTTTTTTCTGGTCTGTAAGTCGATTCTCTGGCTGGAAGTCGAACCTAAATTTTGCGGCCAGAGAAGTCTGTAACTCAAAAAGTCTGTAAGTCGAGCCGTCTGTAAGTTGAGGGTCCACTATATAGCCAAGGGAACAAGACCTTCCCTAATCCTCCCTAAAGGTGTATTTATCAGCTATTGTGGCCCATCAACCTAAAGGTTCACATTCATCAAAACTCTTTTCTAATTCAAACAGACTCTTACCAAGGAGGTATACTCTCTAAGTGGGTAATGAAGGCAATCTCACTATCCTACAAACTGGCTAAATGTTTTTTACCAACTTCTTTGAAGGGACACTGTACAGGAGCTGTAGCAGCATCAACAGCTTTTTTGAAAGAAGTTCATCTGCAGGACATTTGCAGGGCAGTCAGCCATTACAGATTAGATGTTGATCAAAGTTGGAGGCATTGTGCGGTTGTGCAGTGTTATCTTCTATACGTGTGTCACTTCCCACCATTCAGTAAGTGAGCTTGAAAATCACCCATGTGTATGATTCACAGAGACCATGAAAAACGAGGACAAGTTGCCTACCTGTAACCACGGCTTTTTGAGTGGTCACCTGTGAATTCACACAATCGACCCAACTTCACCTCTGTCTGTCACAGTAATTACAATTGTGTTCTGGTGACAGATAGAGGGAACTGTGAATAAATGACTGTTTTGTAGAGCAGTATTTTGGATATGGAAAGGACAAAGCTCTGGAGTATTACTGAGAGTGCTTTGTTCAGCAACAACAATTTCTGTGAATTCTCAGATGACAACTCAAAAAATCACAGCTACAGATATATAACCTGTCCTTTTTCATCTGCTCTAGATGATTCCTTTTTCATCATTTGTCTTTATAGGCAAATCATTGCTAGGGGTCTACTTGATGTCTTTCGAGATTTCAGTCAGAATGAAGAAGATTACTTGACAGTAATGGCAATAGTGGTCCGGCTCTCTGAAGATACAGGTGAATTTTTTATTGGTTTGTTAAAAACAGGTCTGTTTTTTTAATGTATTGCTACATAAAGAGTTTTATAGAGATGCCGCCCAGAGTGGTAGAATATACCAGATGGGCGGGATATAAATCTAATAAATAAATAAATAGAAATTACCATGTATGATCTCTCTATTTCATTATTGTATGACTTGACTGTGGCAGGGATTGAATCTAGGATGTTTTTGCATGAAAAACAGGTGCTGTAGCTGACTTCACAAAATGATTTTGCCTGTCTTGCATTAATATGAAATGCTGTAGTTCCAAAACTAATGCAGTGTGCCCTGGGATTACACATCAGGATTTCAGTATTTTCAGCATGTGTAGTTTTGAAATTTATATTCAGTAGTATCATGTGGGTTACTGTAATGAGCTCTAGCAGGTTGGTCCCCCTCTTTGCTGTCCTTCCAAAGATAGGCAAAGGCTTTTCTTTTCAGGCAAGTCTTCTCAATATGGCTCCTTAAGAGGGGTTTCTAAATGTTGGCACTGATTAGAGTTTTCCTGCCTTTCGTATGTTTATGTTGTTTTTAATATTGTAAACCACTGTGGGTCTTCCCTGAAAGGTGAGCTGTTTTAAATAAATAAACAATAGAATGTTATACCAGGACAAGGCAGCAATCCGTGAACGGGTTTAGAGGTGTTAGCCATCTTTATGGCTCTTAATGCTTTTGAGTGCATCACAGTGGGAAGAGTGGTGCATGTGATGACAGACAGGAACACCACATGTACTTTATAAAAACAAACAAGGCGGAACACATTCAATTGCCTTAATATTGTTGACAACACATCTTAGGGAACGGTGCATACAGAGACGCATATTCCTTGTCTCAATTCACCTTTCCGGAGAGGATAATCAGATTGCAAATGTTCTGAATGGAGATCAGATGCAGATAAGATGATTTTTTTCAAGACTGATGCCTCACAAGATGAAAAAATTTCATTCGTCTTGCGAGGTTCCCATAGGGATGCAATTGCAATGCATTCCTATGGGAAGCCGCTTTTCGCAAGACCATTTTTTCACAAGACAGCGCTACTCACGGAACGAGTTACATTCGTTTTGCGAGGCACCACTGTATTTGCATATATATGAAACAGGACTACTGAACCAAACTGATCAAACAATTTTTTTCTTCTGGCATTTATAAATTGTTTTATTCATTTTGAATCTTAATATTTCAGTTATCAAATAAAATAATTGGGGGAGGTTGTTAGAAGGGAAGCATAAGATTTTCATGTTTATCAGTAGAAGGTACTGTTTAAAAAGTTGAGAAATACTGTCTGAAACTCTTTTAGACTTGTTACTGTGTGAAGTTACGTTAGCATAAATTCACAGAGAGGCAGCCTGTGTATCTGTTCATTTAGTTGAGCAGTTGACAAGTGTAATGAGCCATGTAGTGAATTGCACACTGATCATGCAACCTTCTATGTAACTAATTGCACTGGCATAGTGCTTCCTGGATATGATTTCTGCTTTGGTGCAAATTTCACATTGGCTTGCACAGCTTCAAATTATGTAGGCACAACAAGCTACACAGCAATATTTCTGTAAAATGTGATGTTTTACAATATCAGATTTTATTTATTGAATGTATATGTTTACTGTTTTCAACTAAAGCGGTTGTTTTATTCTTTAGAGCCTACTGTGCGAACAGAACTAATGGAGCAAATACCGCCAATTGCCATTTTTCTCCAGGAGAGTAGGCCAAACTTTCCAACAGCTTTTTCTGAATATCTTATGCCCATTGTAGTGAGATACCTCACAGATCCAAATAACCAGGTAAAGATTTCTGGACAGAACGTTCAGTCTAGTGCCTTGAACTTTTAGTGGGAACCGTAGTCTTCTGGGTTGGTGAAGAAGACACTGCAAATCTTGAGCTTTCTCATTTACCCCATCCTTCTGGAGCACAGTCACAAGGAGAAATTTGCAATATTTTTCTGCCATTTTAGATTACTATTTTAGTTTATAGTGAATGACTGACTTTGAAGCAAGACAACATCAGACCATGGATTGTAAAGCTACCTTGTTTCAACAAATCATAGTTAAGATTAATGTGGTATAGGGCTAGGATGATTTTTATCTTATGGTCTGGATGGCACAATCAGTCTTTCAGCCCACACACTAACCATTGGAAACTTTAGAGATCAAAACTAGCAGTTTAAATTGAGCCTAGAAATAAATAGGCAGCCAGTGTGCTGGGCACAGTATTAAACATATTAGCAAGTTGTAATTCTTTCTCAGATAGCAGCTGCTTCTACTGATCTGATTAAGAGGCTTGTTTATGTCAGTACTGTAAGTAGATTAGTTTCAGGGTAGGTTGATTCAAGGTCATTATCATGAATTAATTATTCATATAGGTGCGCAGAGAAATCTCAGTATTAACTCTTTACCTTTGCTAATTGGTTAGATCACATTCAGATGCTTTCATTAGAATTTGACCTCTGTTTTTAGAAGATAATAGTTATGTCACTTCTGCCTATAATTTGTTACTTAAATATACAGTATATATTAATCTGGGGAAGACGTGAATTAGAAAGTTATCAAATAAAGATTTTTGAAATTACAGAAATGTATATTAATAAAACCTAGAAGGATGTGGATTAGTTAATCTGGGGTTTCAATGACATTTGTGCTAGGAAAAAAATCTTTCTTAGTGGCATTGATTTCCTTCTTTAAACACGGATAGGTTAGAAAAGCAAGCCAAGATTCATTATTGATACTCCTGGAACAACATCTTGTTGCTCAACATGATATTGAAAATAAAGTGTGCCCTATCCTATTGGACCTCTCTGCTCCAGATAGTGATGATGAATACAAGGTAGAGGCTGTAAATGTAAGTAGCAGATTTCTTTTTACTTGGTTAATAAGGAGCTATGGTGTTAGCTTAGCATCTCTTAAATAAGTGACATTTTTACAGATTTAATTCTACCTGCTATTCAACAGTTCTCCAGATAAAAGATATTTTCTATAATGAGATTTTCTCTTCCATGTGTTCTAATTTTATTACTACAGCTACACAAGAGTGCATCTATGTTGTTGTAGAGCACATCAAATCAACATTTTATAAAGGAATTCTAAAAATGATGACAGCCCAAACTAAAAACTGTAACATTGAAACTAGTTTTCAGATTAGCACCAAGTTTGACACAGGTCTAGCATATAGTCTGCTCTTGCTCTGTGATAAATTTGGGGCTGTTTAGGCAAAAGATTTTTGAGTTATGTATTCGCGAAGGCTTTTGAGTTATGATTTTTTAAATATAAAACTGTTCCTCCCTGTGCAGAAACAAGCGACTCTAAATTTCTCCAAGTTTAAAATAGCTCATGTAAATAGAAGATACCAGTCCTGCTCAGCTTGAAAGAGATGGTTGGCCCTATCTGCTTTTTTTTCAGTTTGGAAAGAATCCAGGCTACAGGGCCTGAAATACTGTACTGATCTTTGAAAGAGGTATCTCAAAAGTGAAAACAGCCACTTTGTTATAACACTGAGCATATGTGGTAAATTACCAGCAAGAACATTGCATAGTAGTTACATTCTTACATGTTCATTGGCCCAGAAAGGAGGTTAGGAGGGCTCTGAAAGGTCACAGAAGCAGTCAGAATTCCAAGGTTTCCAGTAACACTCTTTTCTAATTCCCTGCTCTCCCTTTTTAAATTTCAAATGTTGAGGGGTCATCTTTGGGAAAATGTGCAAACAACATGATTGTAGAGCATTTGGTCCAATATAGCTTTTCTTCCCCAGGTTGCCTACTCCAAGCAAAGGGTTTGGAAATGACTTTCTAGTGTACATTCTGCGGAGCAGGCATGGCAATATTAGTTCAAAAACATCTCTTATAATATTTTGGTACAGACTACAGCCACATCCCAGCTGTTCTTACTTTTGCTCTCTCACCCACCAACCATAGATCATGTGCTCATCTTCCGGAATCCTCTAGCACTGGGTAATTCTACGTAAGGGAAGTTGCTATTGAAATTTGTATGTAGTATGTGTATACTTAAACTTTCATTTTATATGAGCCTCGTGGCGCAGTGGTTAAAACGCTGTATTGCAGCTAAAACTGTGCTCACGACCTGGGGTTCAAATCCCAGGTAGCCGGCTCAAGGTTGACTCAGCCTTCCATCCTTCCGAGGTCAGTAAAATGAGTACCCAGCTTGCTGGGGGAGCAATGTGTAGCCTGTATAATTAAACTTGTAAAAACCCCCCGGAGAGTGCTTGTAGCACTATGGGGCGGTATATAAGTCAAAAAAAAAAAAGCCAAGAAATTGATTTATCTGAAAAGCCTCCACTTTATGAATGTGGGTTATTGTGCTACTTTATCACCAAGTCAAAATGGCAGGAAATGGCCTGATATTTCTACACAATATTGTGCCCACATTGCCAGCAGAAAAAAGGATGTCGAGCTTTACTTAGCAAAGGACAGCCTGAATGTTGACAACATCAATGGTAGCTGTCAATATGGTCTACAGAACACTTTCTAGTGCTCACTACTATTTGTACTTATCAAAAAAGAGCCTTGACAATTGCTTTGTGTTTGGATGAAATCTGGATAACTGATGAAAAATGGAGTCGGCTTCTGGGATTTATCCTTGCTTGTTGTCACTTTGCGAATGACAAAGTGAGCCATAATAAGTTCATAGTGATAAACTATGTTGTTTAGCATAATTTTAATAGCAATGCTGAGTTCCAAGTGATCAAAAAAACTGAGATCTCTTTTTTTCTCATAGATAATATGCAAAATGGCTTCTATGGTGAACAAATCTACTGTTGAACGTTTGCTTCTTCCCCGATTCTGTGAGCTTTGTGGTGATGGAAAACTGTTTCAAGTCCGGAAGGTAAGCATGTTTCGTTCTTCTGGTTATGTTATTCATGTTATTTTAAATACCTATTAAAATCTGGGGGCAAAATTATCATAATAGATGATTAGCTATTGTTAGTGCACAACTCTTTTTGATTTTGTTATGTTCTAGAGTCTGGAATCTTTAATTATATTTTTATAGTTAATGACAGAAAAAGTAAATAATTCCATACAAAATAAAGTAAAAAAAATTGAGGATAAAGTTACTTAAATTTGCAAATTAAACAAAACAAAACAAAAACACTCTCTTTTTAATATATGGCCTTATGTCTTGTGTTGCCACTATTTTTAAGGTGACTGTTCTGCAGTATAATGTAAGGCAGCACAAATTTGAGTCAACTGTAGCTAATTCTACATGAATTTATACAAAAGTTGTATAATTATACAAAGGTTACTTTGCTTTGACATACCCAAGCAGCAAATGTTGTAGACTTGATATAATCTCATTATGACTGTGAGGTAGGAAGGATACTTTACATAGTATTTTTTGGCTGGGCATCTAAGGAAGAAGCATTGTCTCAGAAAACTTTAAAATCAAATGTTCGTTTTGTGTGCAGTTGCAATTAAATTAGTATGATATAATAATGACAGACATACTCACCAGAATCCAATGTATTTAGGTGGTTGTTTAAGGGACCCTCCAGCAGGCTCTCCATTGTACACCTGATCTCTCCATTGTACTTTTTGCAGAATTAGGGGCATGCCTGCTTTCATTTATTTGTTTATTTCATTTTTATACTGCTCATCTAGCAAAATTGATACTCTGGGCAGTGTACAACAAAAAAATAAAGAAACATAAATTATGAATCAATTATTGAAACTCTAAAAGTATCCTTACTAATAACAAGACAAGACAGATGGCAAAAAAATTTTTTTTATCATACAGTATTCCTCACCTCTGTCTGAGTTACCGTAACTGGGGAGAACCTTCCAGAAATCATCCCTAAAAAGCTTTGTCTTTAGAAGCTTTTTTAAAGGCATGAAGGCAGGGTGCCTGATGTATCACCTGTGGGAGAGCATTCCCTAAGATGGGCACTGTTGCTGAGAAGGCCCAATTTCTAGTTGATGTTTTCTGGGCTTGTCGAGGTGTCGGCAACCACAGGTGTGAGGTTTATGAAAACTGGTTCAGATGGGCAGCTGAACTTGGCAGAAGACATTCAGACAAGTAATGAGGTCCTAAATATTTTAGAACTTTATATGTTAGAAATATGTTTTTCCCCAGCTAGATTTTAATCACAAAGGACAGTTCTGATGTACAAAAGCAAACCATATATTGTTTTTCTTGTTTTAGGTTTGTGCAGCCAACTTTGGCGATATTTGCAATGCAGTTGGGCAAGAAGCCACAGAAAAGAGTTTGGTATGTTAAGGGCTGAGACCCACAAATCCAGTGTCTTAAAGTTACATTTGGCATCAAGAACAATGGTAGTTCATTGGTGGAGTGCAAATAACCACACACACATAACTTTTTTTTGTTATAATATTTAGCCACGTCTTTATTGGTTATTGCTGCCAATAGCTCTGGCAGTAGTACAGAGCCATCCTGCCTGATGTCTGATGCTGCTCAGAGGGTCATTTTCCTGCCCCACTTCTTCCTCTTAGACAAGGTCTTCACCCTTTCTGTAGAATTCTCCCTGCCAGTAGACAAATCTCTGCTGGACTATGGGACAAGCTGAGCAACATGATGTTGTCCAATGGCTGGTGAATTGCAAGCCTTATGTCCTGCCATATTGATGGACCATCTGGCTGGCTATCCCGTTTTTCTGGGCCAATTGGTAAAATGCTCCCTCCCACTAGCCACTTTCACTGGCCAGTTTAAATCTGAGAGCAAGAAGCCTTTGTGTCACCTCAAGGGGCTCTGGGAAAGAAATAAAATAGCCCTTCGTCCTTCAACCCAAGAGCAACTGCTACTGAGAAAACATGGCCCCAGATAAGTCTGGGACTGCTGCTTTTCCAGAGAATTATAGACAGCTGGCATTTTATATTAAGCAAGAAAAAAGCAGGGCAAATCTTTGGGTCTAAGTCCCAAGTCCAAGTCTTTTGTACCAAATTTCAAGTCCAAAGCCAAGTCCTGAGTTTCAAGCCCCAAATCCAAGTCCCAATTTAAAAATCCCGCCCCCCCCCCCCCCAGAAAAAAATGAGGGATAGGTGGGCTTCTCTCTCCAGTGGATTGAAATGGAACACATTTTGGGAAAGGGAAAGCTACATGATGGAGCCTAATATTTGCCAGACCAGAAATTGAATCACCTGCATTTAATTAATTGACTGATGGGGCCTGAAAAGATTCTTTACTTCAGAATGTACCCACTGACAGAGAAAGTCAAGAAAAATCAGAGTTCAGTACAGCAGAAAGCTATCATGGGTTATAAACTGAGCTGTCATACTAGAGAAAATTATGGAAAATGATAGCTCTATCTATCTCTCTAAGTAACTAATTAAAATTTTTATACTGCTCCACTTACTGAGAATCCATGACTCTGGGCATTCATATACAAATTTAAATATGCATAAAGCAGTGGGTAGAAATTAGGACTTCTTCAATTTCGCCATGCCCTCATTAAAGGTTTGCCAAGTAATTTGCGAAAGTATGTGCAGCTTCCAATACTTGCAGTGCAGGCAGAAATAAAATCCTAGCCATAAGTTGGTTGCACCATGGGTCATTTTTTTGGCTTTGGAATTCTGCATGACTACAGCAATTTTCAAGGGGTTATACTTCTGGTGTTCACTCTTCTTACCAGTTATTGCTGGAGCAACACATGCATTGTTTGACCAAGTGAATACAGGGACACAGAATGTGGTTAAGCCAGATGTCAAAGAAAGGGAAAAGAATTCAGTAATATATACTTTCTTTCCAAAGTGTGTCACTTGCAGCACCTATCTTTGTTGGCCCATTGCTGGCCATCCTGAAAAAGGATCTTTGGAGTAATTCCCTCAAATGCACCATAGCACATGCAGTATATTGTTTGCTACACAAGGTGGACGTGAGTTGTCTGAACACTAAGCGGCATATAAAAAGAAATTTACATTTTAATAGATGCATTTTAACAAGAGGATGGTTTGCTCGGCCCTTGCCAAGCTAAGAACTTTTTTCCTCATCTCTTTCTACCCAAAAACTTATGAGACTAAAATCCTAGACAGTCACTCAAGTCACAGATTTCTCTCTCTTGTTAGAATTGTGGTCATCAGTCTTTAACTAGCTGTGGTGGTAACCCCTATTGATAACTTCATTTTATAAGGGTAATCCTTCAGTGTTAACATTCCTTCTTTTAGCCTTGCTGAAAGCACATGAATATTTCTAATATTTCTAAAGTTATCTGACCTTGCTGTCAGCTCCTCATCACAACTTGAAATAAATCACATTGACAGTTTTGGGCAGCTTGACTTTTTGCTATCACATGAGTATTTATTTAAAAGGATGAAATGCATGTACATAGTGCATGTAGTCAAAATGTCCTTGACATTTATATATTGTTAAATGTAACTTGCTGCTCTGCTGCAAGCCGCTAGCCAATGGAAATTTCAAAATATAGGTGGCGTATATTTCAATCCTGAAATAATGATTTGAAGTCAATGTTTTCCAAGTAAGTTACATATCTGAAGTGTAAATCAATAAAAAGCATATTTTGGAATTGTCTGATCTGTCACTACTGTCACTTTATTTTGGCAGATTCCAAAGTTCTTTGAGCTGTGTTCTGATAGTGTTTGGGGTATGCGGAAAGCTTGTGCTGAATGCTTTATGGCTGTCTCCTATACCATTTCACCGGAGATTCGAAGAAGCAAATTATCTCCCCTCTTCATCAGTCTCATTAGTGACCCATGCAGATGGGTAGGTAGAGAGAATTAAGCAGTAGTTTATACTGTGAAAGAAGTGTTATGTCTTTTGGTAAATGAAAGTATACAGATATGACTAAGACCAATTCAGATGGCAGCCACTGAATGATTTAAACTTTTTACATGAATTTTCTCCTTGTCCCATGTCCTTTTAAATTATTTTACTTATTATAATTGATATCATGGAGGGTACCTTTGTTGTCATCAGTGGCAATTCTGATCAGCTATCAAAATACATCTCACCTTGGGAAAAGAAAGAGAGAGAGAGAGAGGAGGACCAACAGGGCTTGGATTTTTTTTAAAAAAAATCCCATCCACTCTGCTATGTCCTTACTTTATTTTTGCAGATTCCAAAATTCTTTGAGCTCTACCCTGAGAATGTGGAGTATGTGAACAACTTTGCAACTGCCATGTGTAATAAATTAATGCCATTCTCCCACTGCAACGTAATATGATTTCCCATGTGTAAATTACATGTAGGATTCAGGCTAAAATGTATTAAATGCTGCCAGAACTGATAGTCTTAATCATATTTTAAATCATGTTAGAATAGCAGTGGCTTGTGAATACTTAATTCTGTGAAAAATATTTGTCAAACCCATTGTGTCTTATTTTGGATATTCTAGGTTCGTCAAGCTGCTTTCCAGTCCCTTGGGCCATTCATATCTACTTTTGCAAACCCTTCTAGTGCTGGTCTGTATATTCGGGAGGATGGAACACTGAGTATACAACCATCCAACCCATGTCTAACAGGCAGTACTGAAAACATCATGCCATCTAGGTATAGTGATTTGATATTAAAGATAACTGGTTAATTTGAATCTTGACTTTGTTATATATATCATCTTGAACTCTGCCCAGGATTAAAACAAGCAAAGATATGATAATGAATTATGTTCTACACATTTTAATGCAAGGTTTTTCATGCTTTCATAATTTTAAGCTCTTCTAATGAAGTCAAGCAGGATTTCCATCTGCCAATATCTACAAAAGATGTAGTGATATATTGTAACTAGTGATGCATGTAGCAGCTAGAGAGGTCAGATTTACACATCACCAAGTAAGGTTGTGATGAAAAACCTGAGCTTATGCTTATTCAGTAACAAAGTGGGAATACTTTACATGGTTATTCAGTTGCCTCGGAAAAATGAAGCAAGATCTTTACTCTTGAACTAAGTGGAGGAGAAACCCACTATAACTTTGGTTCCATATTTTTGCTCAAAACCCCCCATTGTACACCTTATTAGGCCCAGAAATGGCTGTTTCCAGGTATTTTTTTTAAAAAAGGAAACAGTTTCAGGTTTTTGTTTTTGTGGGGTGAACTTAATTATAGAGTCCTTGTAATCGGTAAAGTGACATTGCATTATAAAGAAATGTGATCCATATAAAGGTTTTATTTTTCTCCTGTTTGGTATAAAAGTAGGGCAGTCATTATTTATGTCTGCCTAGTCGTGTCCTGTTCTTTGTGTTAGATACAGATAGGGAGAAATAGTTAAAAAGAAGCTACTACACTGTTTATTTTGTTTTGCCTTTTATTTTTACCATCTCTTTAAATTCAGGTTTGTACAAAGTCAGATTTAGACACACATTGGTCAAAATCCTGTTGACCCTGCTACACCATCGTAAATAGGATGGGGAGCTGGAAATAATTAAACTAACTAAAGCTTCCTGTTCTCCCCCTTTGAAACTCTGAGGTTTGCTAGGGCTCTTCTTTGTCCAGGAGAAGGCTTTGGGAGCCTTGGGACAGGGCGTGGGGAGCTTTTAAGAGCCAAAAATCACCTCCTGATCCCAGCAGCAGTGATCCAGCAGTGATTTTTTGTGATTAAATACTCTTCCCTGTCCGAGACTTCTAAAGGCTTTCCCAGGGCAGAAGCGAGCTCTGGCAAGCCTCAGGACCTGAAACGAAGTGTGTGTGTGTGTGGTGTGTGGACGGGAAGCTTCTAGTTTAAATTATTTCCGATGCCTAGATCCAGTTTACAACAGTGTAACTATCCAAACAGAATTTTGCCCATTGAGAATCAGAGGCTTATCAAGGGCTGCTTGTACCAGCAGGACAATTTCAAAACAATAGGTTCAGACTGGGCATGGGTAGAGGCTGTTCATGTGTTGCTCATCCATCAAACATAGAGTGTGATTGGGTCATTGTGCTTGTGCTGCCTCTCTAAATATGAAAAGAGAGGACAACAATGAGGAATAACAAAGAAACCAGGCTTTTTGAATATAGAACCTCCTTGATCAAACAAGCTGCAATCCATGGCCAGCTCCCAAACTCAGGTGAGTTAAAATCTCACAGCAGAGTAATGACTGATTAGCCCCAGGACAGTTGGTGGTGTGAAGCTAATTTTGACTGCTTTTTTAAATTTATTGGCTGAAACTGTTGTACTGCTATAAAAAACATGCAACTTTTAGATGTAACTTTTAAAGGTGAATTGCCTCAAGTTAAGAGATCTCCGTAGACATCTGTTGCATACCAAGTCATGTGACTAATACCAAAGAAGATTTCTTAATTTGCCACAATTCACCTCTAAAAGTTATGCCTTTGGTGTTGTAGTGCAAGGGGATTTCAACCATGGTGTCTGTTTATTATTTTTCTGCTCACCATTACTTTGAAATTGATGTATAATAAAACATTTTAAAGTCCTTTTAATAGTTATCAAAATCATTTTAAAAATTAGTTTTAAAAACCAACAGTCCTCTGGAATAGTCGTTTTGGCTGCCCACTGGAAACCAAAATGAAACCAGCTTCATTTCCCTTGGATAGATGTTCATTTAGCAAGGTGTTGCTACAAAGAAAACCCTATCTCATGTACTCGTTCACCAGCTTAACCTATCATAGTGGTGGGATATATAAGAGACTCTCCACTGAAAAATCTCAAACTCAGAACTCATTCATACCAGAAAAGTTAGTTTTTCAAATATCAGAGCCTGAAGCACTTTGATGCGAGCTCAGAAACAAAATGGAAGCCAATGCAATTGTTTTAAGGCTAGTAATACATGACGTCTAAAGTGTATACTGGGAAACAATTTGGCTGTTCAGTGCAGTTCAGTGTAGCTTTCGGAAACTTCTCAAGTGTAGTCTGATCTTTACTGTAGTCTAATTGAGAAGTAATTAAAACATGGATCATTGTGGCCAAAGTCACTTCCTGAATACAGTAATGGTAGCAGCTGACGTACCAGCAAAAATTGAGCAAAGGCACTCCTGGTCATAGCAGCTACTTGGTCTCCCAGGAAGAAGGCTGAATCCGAAAGCACTCTTAAGTTGCCATTGATTCTGTGAAGAACAAGTCTCTCCAAAAGCAGAATTGACTTTGGAGAAAAGACAAAAATATTGCAAGTGAAACCTTGCCTGTGATGCTATATTTAACAATCAATACAGGATTTTTTTTGTTTGGGGTTTTTTGGTTTTTTTTAATTAACTGTGTTTCTATTATCAGTTCAGAGGAGCCAATGGAAAATAAATTGGAATCATTGGCAGAGGGACCTTCTGCTAACGGCACACCTAATTCTGAAAAATCAAATTCAGATGCTCAAGAAGAAAGTTCAGCTATATGTGTTGATTTTGCAGCAGATCAGACTGCATTGAGTCAAAGTGATAATGCTGATCTTTTCATGACTGAAGAAATTAAAGACTGCCAAATCAGTAATTATCAGGGAATGAACTCAAGGATCCAGTCTGCAGAGGATGTCTTCAATACTTTCTTATACTGGCGTCCTCCGCTTCCTGACATCAGTGAGGATTTGGAACTGCTTCAGTGCAAAACTGAGGTACATGAGGAGAACTGCTCAGTTTCAGAGGTTCTTTGTAATAACTGTGTTGCCAGCAGTGAAATTAAAAAAGTTCTGCAAAGTTTGCAGGAGCACATGGATGATCCGGATGTTCAAGGTAAGCTTCTCCACTGGTCACGCTTACCTAGTCTCGTGCTCAAAGATTTCTGTTCAAAAGCTTCTGCTCTGGTTACTGTGCGCCTTGCAACTGCCTTATTGTAATGGAGAATAATACATTGGATACATTTCTAATGGACAGAAAAACACTTCCAGGTTGCTTCTCAATGACTAAAAAGTAGCTTCTGTCTGCAGCGGCAACTCATGATAATCTTTTGCTGTTCTAAAAAGTATATTCTTTCTTGAGCTGTTATGGGTGAGAGTTGGGCAGACATATTAGCACTACTGGGGGGCTTCTACAGTTGCCCCCCACTTCCCCATAAATTGCATGTGCAGGTGGGTTGTATTACTTTTTTAAAAAGGAGTTGGATTGATGTGTTCTTTGCAAATTGGACTTAAGACCGATAACATTTCTGGACTAGTATACTGTGTTTGTGACATAGTTTGTAATTTAATCAGAAGGATAATTGTAGATGCTCCAAATAAAAAGTTGGCCTTAAATGCTGTCAAATCTGAATGTGTTTACTTGTAAGTAAATCTCGGTGCCTAGAGTCCTGATTGCTTATGTAATCATGTAAGCTTTTCTGCCCTTACAGTAAGCTCTGAAAGGAAGCATACCAGGAGGGGAAAAACTCTTTGTGATTCCCTTTATGCTCGCCTAAAACATGAGTAGGATTTTGGCTGCTATGGTCAATATTTCCTCCTAGTAAGTGTGCTTAGGATTGCAACCTTAGTCACCCATCCCATGGTAAATTACTCGGCTCAGGCTCACATTGTTTTAAACTAACCTTTTGTAAAATTCAAATGTGAGGTTGTATATAACATAGGGGGAATATGAGAAATATGATGCAAAACCATAGCAGAAAAAGAAAGTACTGTACTTAGGCTTGGAACTGGACATTGCTATTTTCTGAATTTGCAAACTTTCTGTTTCATTTTAAGTTCTGCTTAATATTTTAATGCTTCTTCTAATCCACAAATAGTCATTAAGAAAGTTATATGAAGCTGCAGCTTTCATCTAGCCCTCATAGGTCCTTGATATGGTACAAAAATATTTTCCAGCAGACACAAATAAGCCCACTACAGAACTTGTGGCCAGGTTTCTTTCTTCTGCACAGAGAACATGAAAGGAAATTCTCACCAGTGCTTTATAATATTTAATGTTTTGCAGCTGAATCTACTTACCGTAATTTTAAATTGTTTTAAAACATTCTTGAAATTCTAGTAGTCATTGATAGGTTTATCCATCCATGAATTTTCCCCCTTTCAAATAAAGAACTTGAAAGCAATTTGCAAATGCTTAAAATCTGGCCATAGACAATGTACTTCATTGTTCATTGCTTGTTCTGCTTTTTTCAAAGAAAGTATTTTTGATACAGATTTTTAATGATTATAATATGAGGTGCATTAAAACAGACTTGATAGACCTAATAGGTCTGTTCCATCAATCAGCTCAGGTTCAAGTATTATCTGCTGCACTCAGAGCTGCTCATCTTGATTCTGTCAATGAGTATGAGATGAAGAAGAATGAAGAAGTTAATGGTAACCACAAGGCAGATGTGCCCCATTTGGACCAGGATCTCAATGCGATGAAGGAGAGCGCTTTGTCTTCATTATCAAGCCAGAGGGAGGTGATTAATCCATCTCCCCCAACTGTAATACAAAATGTTGTAAGTATCAATTGTTGTAGAAAACATATTTCAGGATATACTGACACCACTAGAGACTTCTATTTATTTTTATTTCTAACCTGCTACTTTAAAAATGTAGAGCACTGAGCCTAAAATTAAAATAGAACCCAAATGTGGGCAGTATGGTTCACTAAATTATAGCTGTAGTTATCTAAATACCATCCTATTACTTAGCCCAAGCCTCTGAAAGGTAGCAAAAAAATTGAGGCTTTTTTAGCACTTCCAATAAGTGCTTTGGGCTGGCAATTCCCTAGGAGAAGGGAGGTCAGAGAATTAGATTGTCCACTTAAATATATTTTCCCAACACTCTACCAAATATATACCAAATGTGCTATTCCTTATTTACTATATATATATAGTAAAATAAGGAATAGTAAATAAGTAAATATATATAAATAAGGAATAGCACATTTGAAGGTAAGCTAATTGTGACTTAAAATGAATTAAGAAATATAATGTCTGTTTAAGAACTCAGTATTGGATGAAACCCTATTGCTTAGTATAGTACGTTACACTAGAATTAGCACAATGAATCAGTGGAGGTTTGGTGAGTCATAAGGTTAATTGATTGAAACAGGCCTACTCTAGTTGCATCTTAGTTTGACACAGTAAATGAGAACTAATGTAGGTGTATTTCAATCAGTGGAACTTATGGAGGAGTTGACTCATCAAATCTGCTTTGATTCAGTGGGCCTACTCTAGTGCAATGAACTTTGCTAGGCAACTGGATTTCAGCCATTGAGTGAAAAGAGTTATTTAAAATTAGTTATGTAGTTTAAGTCAATTGATAGCTTGAACTGGAAGAGGAGTGAAAGAAGTTAATGTCATCAAGCTTAGAATCAGATTTTTAAAAATTCACCCAGATTTGCTTAGAGGTTTATATTAATTAAATACTGAATACGACTAGTAGGAAGTCAAGTGGTTGTGGTTTGGTAGAACTCAGGCTTATTAACACACATTGTCATTAACCTAAATTTAAACTTCCATAATGGATTAGTAATTTGGAAACAGATGTAGTTATCTTTTCCTGTGGGTTATATCTTTAGCTTAGAATAACTTGTATTACATTCTTTTATTACAAGTTCAGATCTCTAGGGCCAGATGAACTTAATGACTTGGATGTGGGAGTTGGTGCAGGAATTATCAGATTTTCAGATGACACAAAATTGAGTGGAACACCTGATACCTTGGAGAATTTTCAGATGACACAAAATTGGGTGGAACACCTGATACCTTGGAAGATAGGAACAAAATTCAAAAAGATCTTGATAGGCTTGAACACTGGGTTAAAAACAACAGAAATAAATTTTAATAGGAATAAGTGTGAAGTTCTATATTTAGGGGGAGAAAAGAAATGCATAGTGACAAGATGAAGAATACTTGGCACGATAATATTACAAGTGAGAAAGATCTTGGAATCGTTGTAGATCACAAGCTGAATGTGAGTCAACAGTGCGATGCAACTTCAAAAAAGGAAAATGCGTCAGTCTCCAAATCCCATGAAGTACTGGTTCCCTTCAATTTGGCACTGGTTAGTCCTCATCTTGAGTACTGTGACCGGTTTTGGACCCTGCACGTTAAAGAAGGATGCCAACAAACTAGAGCAAGTTCAGAGGAGGGCAACAAGGATGATTAGGATGACTGGAAAATAAGCCTGATGAGGAAAGACTGAAAGAACTAGGCATGTTTAGCTTTGAGAAAAGAAGACTGAGGATAAATATGATAGCACTTTTCAAATACTTGAAATCAAAGGAGGCACAGGATTTGTTCTTGAGCATCCCAGAGTTCAGGACATGTAATAATGGGCACAAGTTACAGGAATCCAGATTTTGACTGAATATCAGGAAAAACTTTCTAACTGTTAGAGCAGTATGAAAATGGAACCAGTTACCTTGGCAGGTGGTGAGCACTCCAGTGCTGGAGGCATGCAAGACAAAATTAGGCAACCGTGCATGAGATACACTTTGATTTGGATTCCTTCATTGAGCTGGAGGTTGGACTCAGTACAGTAGTCTCATAAGCCCCTTCCAACTCCCATTATTCTGTTATTCTATGATTATAGTACATTGAATCCAGTTCTTGCTGTTATGTACTGTATAATGTTTAAGTTGTATTGAATTACCTCTTCCAGGACTCAGAAGAGAAGCAGAATGGGACTAACAAAGTATTAGAGGCAGAAGGACATGAAGGACATGAAGATGATAAAGAAGATAAATCAAAATTACAGGTTGTTTCAAATGTTTCTTAATTATGGTACAGTGATGTTCAGATTTCATAACTGAACACTTTGCTTAAACCACTTTCCAGAAGCCAGCCTGCTATCTTGCTTCTAATAGAATCTGAAATTATGTGTATTTCATCAACTATAATGTATAGTGATGATGAGTTTTATTCACATATTATTTTCTGAACCTGTTTGTGCGTCTGCATGGTATGGTTCTTGGACATGCCCTCATGTTTTCTTCCTGTCTCCTATCACTGCACATTACACAGTATATATCTAGCTGAGTGTTGCATTCCTCTTATCTGAGCTCTTCCTTATTTTGTGAGTTTACCCTGGGTTATATATTGTAGGTAGACATGAACAAAGACATTGGCTTGTTATCTGAAAAGAGTAAAGTGCAGTTCACTCAGAGACCAGCTTTGAAAGGAAACATTTTCCAAGGCCCTGGATCTGGTTGTATTCCAGGTATAATTTGTAGTGGAAAAGATTGTACACAATCCAAAGACGAGGGCAGGCAATTATCACAGATCTGTGGATGACGCAGAAAGCATTCCAGTTCACGCCACCAGAGGTGCAGTCTGAAACCTTGACCTGACACTTCAGTCCCCATTTTGAAACTTGCTTTAAGCAGCAAAACTTGGCCTGCACATGTAGCCACATTTTTTTCTGCATCATGCACATCTCTGCAGTGCTCAGCCTGATGATCTATACAGATTATAAGTGAGCTTCTATTTATGAATTTTAGTGATTTAATTAAAGATACCAACCCCCTTTGTCTTTCCATTAAGCATGATTTGTATAGTTACAAATAATATAGATGGCCAGACTTTGAGATGCCCAGTGATTTAAGCATACGTATGTAATCAAACGTGCGCATAACTTGTTATCTATAGCACTACACTTGATATTAGCCAAAAGGCCTAGAAGCAATGTCATTTGCAGCTTCTCTTTATAACTCACAAGGCCAATCTTTCTTTGGTTGATTTGTGGACTTCATAAAATCGTGTGACAATTGGCCTATGAAGCTGAGACCTTGAAGAAACTATTATTTATGACAAAGCCGATGTAGTTTGGCCCATTTCTTATTTTAAAACTGCTGGTGTTCTGTACTGTTTCCTTTGTCTATTTCCCATCTGGAGGGGGAGATAGAATGTTGTACTAGAAACAGCTGTTTTTCAGCGCTGATATATTCTTCCTCTTGTTTAATTTATTGTTATCAATAATTTATTGTTTATCTCTTCTTTTCTTCAGGATATCATACCTCAGCCATTGTTAGACCAGTACTTATCCATGACAGACCCTGCTCGAGCACAAACGGTTGACACTGAAATTGCAAAACATTGTGCGTACAGTCTTCCCGGCGTAGCCTTAACACTGGGCAGGCAGAACTGGCATTGTTTGAAGGACACATACGAGACCTTGGCATCTGATGTGCAGGTGAAGTATGTAGTAGTCAAGATCTACTTCATAGTATGTATTTGGCACGTTAACTGTCAGATACCTGATGCACATATGGTCTCCACGTACATTCCTCTCTACTTGTCTGTCTTAACAAAAACCAAGAAGCTCCTATTAGATGGACTTTCTAATATGCAAGAATTAAGGAAATGTTTTTGGCATAGCCTCAAGAAATAATGTGCAGAATCATATTCATTTCTTAGACTTATTCAACAATAAACTGTGCAAGTGTTTGGACATATTTAAGCTTATATAAGAAAATACCCAGTAACACCTTCTTGAACTAACTGGGAAACTGTCCAGCTACTCATACAATGGACCAGTACATAGGTGGAAAGAACAAACAAAATTCTGACCACACATTCAGCCAGATGCAATGCAAATGGAAGCCCATGTTCATGTTGGGAACACTTTTAAAAACTACTTTTCACAAGCAGAACCTGTCTGTGGGTTTAAGACTGAAAAGCTAGCTTCTCCACCCTGCAACAGAACTGGGGTTGCTGTTGTTCAAAACTCCTATGTCAAATACAATGTTTTTTTTTCTCATTTGAGAGGCAACAGGACATCACAGCCTATTGTTTGTAGAAACCCAATTCATTCTTCCTTCTATAATAAAGTGAAAGACAAAGAACATAGTGAGAATGAGCAGCAGTAAATACAGCAATTGGTTTGAAGGATGGGATAGGAAAGGGGTTCTGTTCAATTTTTGAGCAGTTCAAATGCTGTCCTATCATATGCTCATATAAAAACACTGTGGTTTTCTTGTTGTGCAACATTCAGTGTTTTTCATTAATTATTTGCAGTGGAAGGTGCGTCGGACACTTGCTTTCTCCATTCATGAGCTGGCTGTTATCTTGGGAGACCAGCTAACAGCAGCAGACTTAGTGCCAATTTTCAATGGCTTCTTAAAAGATCTGGATGAAGTGCGCATTGGGATCCTAAAACATCTGTATGACTTCCTTAAGGTAGAAGAAACTACAGTTACTCACTTTTGTTTTCTGTTAGCTGCTTTTTTCCTCAAAAGGTATCCTGTACTTCAGAGAAGTGCATAGAAATACTCATTTGTGTAGTAGGATTTTTATTATTTTATGTTTCATTTTTTTTAAGTAGCTTTCTTCATCTGAATCAGCTCCTGACAGCTCTCTTTCTCTACCTGGATAATCAGAGGCAGCTTCCAATGCAGACAAAACAGTACCGCATGTTCCTGTGTATCAGACGATACTTTTGTCTAAAATCTTTACATTAAAAATTGAGGGTTGTCTTATACACGGAAGTAAGGAGGGGGAAGGGATCAAAGCGCTTTGATTCCTGCTTCTCCCCTCCACTTTCTTGCGAAGAAAGTGCTTTCTGATGGAGAAATCAGGGATGTAACGGGGTTCGCATATCTCTTTTGACAGTTCCTCAGTTTGTATAGGAAATGACGAGTGGAGTTTCATTAAAAATTCTTTATTAACATAACTCAAACTTTTTTCAACCGTAACTCCAACAGGATTATTAAAAGTCACATTCAAAGGTAAACTGTCCCATAACATAGATAACATCTTTTCCAACGGTTCTCCTCCTAACAGTAACTCTGCTCGAAACGTTCTTGATCTGTCGGCATCCTCTGACACCCACTCCTTATCACACAAATAGTCCCACAGCAATGGTGTTGTGCCCATTCACTCTCCATTGGTTTCTCTCCTTGTAAAATAGGTTTTGGTCAGGTTAGCCTCTTCACTGGACCTCGACCTTGCGGGTAGACAAGTACCGTCCATTCTTCAGGATATAAACCTCTATAATCAGTTTTATCCCTTCACTATTGCCAGCACTCAAATCCCAACCTCTTTCTTCTTTCTCTGTCACTTTTCTAGATACTTTAAATATCTTAGGTTCATTTTCTCCTTCTATCCACTCATCTTCTATAATCACTACTTTTTGTGTCTCTCCTGATTTCCCATCCTCTTCTGAAGTGAGGAAAACATCCATCTCCTTTCGAATCCCCTTTCCTGGCTCCTCCCTCTTTTCTCTCATCTTTAACCCTTTCATCTTATCCTCTGTCTCGTGCATCTCCTCTTTCATATTCCCTTCCTCCTGAATCTTCTCAGATGACTGAGGGGATGGCACACTGTTGTCTCCTTTTTCTCCTCCAGCTCACAAGGGATCAAAGCGCTTTGATTCCTGGTTTTCCCTTCCACTTGCTAAGTGGGCTTAGCAAGAAAGGGGAAAGCAGGGATCAAAGTGATACTGCAGCGCTATGATCCCTGCTTTCACCCTCCACTTGCTAAGCCCCACTTAGATTTCTTAATTTTGGGTTAGAAAAGTGGGGGCAGGTTGTTATACATGGGGGCGTCTTATATATTGAAAAATATGGTATGTCTTTTGTATATGTCCCCAGATTGCATCAGGAGTTATATATATTTACAACACTATTCAAGTGATGCTTCTGTAGTTTCTGTATTGTTTCACATTTAATAAAAAGTGATACAAAATGGATATTTATTTATTTACAATATTTTTTTAGCCACGCCATTACCAGTGGTCTCTGAGCGGTGTACAACAATATTAAAACTTTAAAAACATCAAAACCGTTAAAAATAGGCAATGTTATAATAATGTTCTATATTAAAAACAATCATTAAAACATTAATATTAATAAATCTTGCTGCTCATATGGCCAGCTAAAGGATACTATTTAATTAAAATGCTGGCAGAAAGGTCTTTGCCTGGCGCCGAAAAGCCAAAAGTGTCAGAGCCATGCAGATCTCTATAGGGTGGGTGTTCCAAAGTTGGGGGCAATAGCCGAGAAGGCCGTATTTCTGCATGCCATCCCCCTCGCCACTTTCATGGATGGCACCTTCAGAAGGGCCTCCTGGCCTGATCTTAGAGGACGGGCAGGCTAGTATGGAAGAAGGTGCTCCCCTTTTAGGTAACCAGGTCCTAAGCCGTTTAGGGCTTTATATGTCAAAGTAAGCACTTTGAATTGGGCCCGAGCAGCAACTGGCAGCCAGTGTAAATTTTTCAGAACCAGATATGACAGCTGAATGGGATTTTCATTGACTTAAAAATTTATGTTGACTTTATTTAAGATGGAAACCAGTGAGGGCTACTATGTAAATTTTATCCCTCCCTCTGGAAAAAAAACCCTTTGTCTGATCAACACACTAATTTTTTGGTAGGGTTAATGTGGAAGCATCTTAATCTGTGGCTTTTCCAAAATGTATGTAACATTGGCCTACAATGCTGTATATTGCTGGTGTGTTGACTATATGCTGTATGCATCTTACATTTAAATGTTATACCGTGCTGATGTGGGAAAGAAGTTTTGGCAGCCTCCAAATGAGGGCCATTATATTTAAATTGCCTCTGAGTCATTAGCAGGTTGTATGAGGAAATTGATTTTATATGAAAGAATAATTAGTGGACAAAAGGTTCAGCACGTATTTCGTGATTGAGATGGCTGTAAACATTTGACTTTTAGAAGCTGAAAATGACAGAAATTGAATTTTGATCTATGCTTCTGTTGGCAAAGATAATATAGTAAGGACACATAGCCGCCCAGAGTGGTCGACCAGACCAGATGGGCGGGATATAAATCAAATAAATAAATAAATAACTGCATTCCAGTGTAGTAGGTTTGGCTGAACTGTCATTCAGGTATCATGGGAAAGTGTGATATCTTGTGGCAGTACCAACTGTGGTGACTCTCGGGTTCATGCGTTTCTTCCACTCATATGTCTCACACACCAGATGTAGAGTATTTAATATTTTGCTTCCTATTATAAAGAGGTCACATGCAAATGTGAGGGTCATTCATAAAATGGCCCTGGAATGTCTCTCTCAGAGTTGAAAGATACAGAGTACAGTGGTGCCCCGCTTGACAATTATCCCGATAGACGACGAAATCGCTTAACAATGAGGTTTTTGCGATCGCTATTGCGATCACAAAACGATGTTTCAATGGAGAAAATCTGCTTCACAATGATCGGTTCCCTGCTTTGGGAACCAATTTTTTGCTTCCCGATGATCAAAAATAGCTGATCGTCGGGTTTTCAACATGGCCGCCCGATGTTTTCCAGACTGATTTCCAGAAGACAGCGATCGAAAATGGCTTCCCCTATGGAGGATCTTCGCTGGACGATGAGGTATTTTGCCCATTGGAATGCATTGAACTGGTTTTCAATGCATTTCAATGGGTTTTTTCTTTCGCTTGACAACGATAACGCTTAATGGCGTTTTCAATGCATTTCAATGGAGTTTTTTTCTTTCGCTTGACGACGATAACGCTTAACGGCAGGGATTAACATCGTCAAGCGGGGCGCCACTGTATGGAGTGCTTGAACTGTGGCATCTTCAGTCCCACTTTAAGCGATCTATCATACAAAGTTTGCTTTCTGGAAAGTGGTCTTTAGTGCTTCACAAGTGTGAAGTAGATAAAAATTGATTTTTAAACTGAGTTGATGAACAATTTTACTGTAGTAAATTGCTGATCGTTTCATTGAGCTTTTTTTGTTTCATTTTGTAGTTGCTTCATGTTGACAAAAGGCGTGAATATCTTTACCAGCTTCAAGAATTTGTGGTTACAGATAACAGTAGGAATTGGAGATTTCGTTACGAACTTGCAGAGTAAGTATAGATGAACTGTAGCAAGCACTGGCTGTGCTCCCCCATCTTCTACGAATCTTTATTTATGCTGCAAGCACAAAAATGAGCCCTAATGAAGGCAGGAATCTTCATTGATACGGAAGCAAAGCAAAATATATTAATAGGCATGTTAATGTAGGCAGGTTTGGCAATCTGTCTTCAGTTGTAACAAATAAACAGGAGCATTTTATACAACTCAAAAATAAATTCTAAATGCAGGAAAATGTGTAAATAATTGCTAAACGGTAGGTATGTAAAGTATCAAAATTTCATTATATAAACTGTAACATAGATAATTAATACAAAACAGATAACATTTAGTGATAGTAAATAATCAGATGCTTGAAAGCAGACAAAAAGATGACTGATATTGTGGTGGTAACCTGTTTCCTACAGCATCTTCATCAAGCACAAAACTTCTAAAAGTGTAATCCTCTTGAGGTTCATTTTATACATGGAAGGCAGATCTTTTGCGAAGGCACGGAGTTTAGCAAAAAGGAAGGGAAGGAATTGCTCTCTTCCTTTTTGCTAAGCTCTGTGCCTTCTCAAAAGTCACTTTGACAGCCCCTTTCCTTGCCTTTTGCCAAGGCACGGGGCTTAGCAAAAAGGGAGCCCTTTGATCCCTGCTTTTTCTAATTTGGGGTTAGAAAAGTCTTATACTTTGGTTTGTCTTATAAATGGAAAAATATGGTAACAAACACACACACACACGAGCATTGAACTGAACATAGCAAGGCTTCATCCTATGCCACACACATTTATTATATTTTTTAAAATATTACTGTATTTTGGATTGAATTCTAACTTGAGTCTTCACCTAAAGATTTAGTTTTCGTATGTTTTTAAATATTTGTGCCTACAGGGTTTTTTCGTAGCTGTAAGACTTGTATTTTTACAACAACTTTTAAGTATTTTGCTTTTATGGAACATAGAAACAATGTAGATAGTAAAGCTTGAAGAAATAGACAAACTGATGTTGCCTGTAATTACTGCAACAATGAAGACTTTTTTTGTATATATTAACAGCCATGACAAATACAGGCTTCTTATTTCCCCCCTGGAGGTCTATAAAGTTCTTTAGGATTCTTAGGGAAGGTCAGGAATCACAATTTCTAATCTTTGCAGTCTCTGGCATTCTAGTATGCTAACTCTGACATCTAGTGGGGGAGCTGTGTAATTTCAGTACACCTTTTGCTTGACTAGTTCCGTCCCATCTGCCGATTTCTTTTTTTTTTCCAGCTATAATATCTTGCAGATTATAGGTCTAATGTGACTAGCAAGGCTTTTATTGAAATACTTTGCACATTATTGGAGTAATTTATAGTTCTAAAAGCTATGTTTCTCAGAGTATCTTGGTTTTTTTAATCAGTTACAAAAAACAATAAAAAAACTTCAAAATTTTATTCATTAGTATAAAACAAAGGTCAGGAAATGAAACAAATTCAAACTAACATTAATATGATTAAGCAATTATCAATAAACTATAAAGCAGTCTATATATCTGAAGAAATAACCATTGGGAAATGACTACTGCAGAATACATGTTTAGCTGTTCAGAGGCTAGAAGTAACTTTTGGAAGCAACCAAGGGCATGATTGATAATTTTAACTTAACAATCGCCTGTTATTCTTTACACCAAAAGATAAATTACATAAACTTAAATTTTATTCATTAGTACAAAACAAAGGTCAGGAAATGAAACAAATTCAAACTAACATTAGTACGATTAAGCAAATATCAATAAACTATACAGATTTATAAAGCAGTCTATATATTTGAAGCCGCCCCGAGTAGACATGGTCTAGAGGGGCGGGGTAAAAATCAAATAAATAAAATAAAATAAATAAAATAAATAACCATCTGGAAATAACTACTGCAGAATACATGTTTAGCTGCATATAGGACTAAGTTGTTCAGAGGCTAGAAGTAACTTTTGGGAGCAACCAAGGGCATGATTGATAATTTTAACTTAACAACCACCTGTTATTCTTTACACCAAAAAATAAATTACATAAACTTACAACATTAATCCTAAAAAAAAATTTGGTCATATTGCAGGGTTTGGGGGCCATTTTTGTATTCTTATGGTTCCAAGAAAACATTTATATTGTTCTATCCTTACATGTCTTTTTCAAAATGATAATAAACTACCTTAAAAGTAACATGTTAGAAACTTGTTCATCCTTCAAATGATGAATAGCAATGTTAGTATTTATCTGGCTATATAAAATCAGTAAGTAATGTTTTTTTTATTTTTTAAGTTCTATATTTTCCCACTCATTAAGGAATGGAAAACGTTTCCCTTTCCAACCTTGAAGTATAGGTCTCTTGGCAACTATAAGGGCATGAAGAAGCCATTTATGCTGTCCATCTCTTAAATCCCCAGTTAGATGAATATAGTTTAATACTGTCTAGGAACATTGGGAAATGTAAAAGATTGTTCTGTAAGAAAATCAGTATGAATATTCATTTCCAACCAGAAAGAAAAGAAATAAGTTATGACCACTTTATGTACCTCAGGTGTTCTGCATGTTACGTGAACAATTTCTGGCTGAACTAGCTGGCTTTTTCCTTTAAAAGTATCATGGTATCCAGAAGCCTTAGAGGGCTTTAGAAAGTATGGCTAATAACAAGGCCAGTGGAAGTGGTGACATTCCAGTGGAACTATTTAAAATCTTAAAAGATGACACTGTTAAGGTGCTAGACTCAATATGCCAGCAAGTTTGGAAAAGTCAGCAGAGGCCATATGATTGGAAAAGGTCACTCTACATCCCAATCCCAAAGAATGGCAGTGCCAAAGAATGCACCAACTACCGTACAATTGCACTCAATTCACATGCTAGCAAGGATATGCTCAAAATCCTACAAGGTAGGCTTCAGCAGTATGTGGACTGAGAAATCCCAGAAGTACAAGCTGGATTTTGAAGAGGCAGAGGAACTAGAGACCAAATTGCTAACATGCTCTGGATTACAGAAAATGCCAGAGAGTTCCAGAAAAACATCTACTTCTGCTTCATTGACTATGCAAAAGCCTTTGACTGTGGGGACCACAATAAACTATGGCAAGTTCTGAAAGAAATGGGAGTGTCTGACCACCTTATCTACCTCCTGAGAAATCTATATGTGGGACAGGAAGCAACAGTTAGAACTGGATATGGAACAACTGATTGGTTCAAAATTGGGAAAGGAGTACGGCAAGTCTGTATATTGTCTCCCTGCTTATTTAACTTATATGCAGAATACATCATGTGAAAGGCTGGACTGGATGAATCCCAAGCCGGAATTAAGATTGCCAGAAGAAATATCAACAATCTCAGATATGCAGATAATACCACTCTGATGGCAGAAAGTGAGGAGGACTAAGATCATGGCCACTGTCCCATCAGCTCCTGGCAAATAGAAGGGAAAGATATGGAGGCAGTGACAGATTTTACTTTCTTGGGATCCTGCAGATGGAGGCAGCAGCCACAAAATTAAAAGACGCCTGCTTCTCAGGAGGAAAGTGATGACAAACCTAGATAGCATCTTAAAAAGCAGAGACATCACCTCGCCGACATAGGTACGCATAGTCAGAGCTATGGTTTCCCCAATAGCGATGTATGGAAGTAAGAGCTGGACCATAAAGAAGGCTGACCACTGAAGAATTGATGCTTTTGAATTGTGGTGCTGGAGGAGACTCATGAGAGTCCCCTGGACTGCAAGGAGAATAAGCCTATCAACTCTGATAGAAATCAACCCTGAGTGTTCACTGGAAGGACAGATCCTGAAGCTGAGGCTCCAGTGCTTTGGCCGTCTCATGAGAAGAGAAGACTCCCTGGAAAAGACCCTGATGCTGGGAAAGTGTGAAGGGAAGAGGAGAAGGGGACGACAGAGGACGAGATGGTTGGACAGTGTCACCAAAGCTACCAACATGAATTTGACACAACTCTGGGATGCAATGGAAGACAGAAGGGCATGGCGTGCTCTGGTTCATGGGGTCACAAAGAGTCGGACACGACTAAACAACAAATCCAGAAGCATCTGTTTTTGCAGAACCCATCTATTAGAATCATAGAAGTGTAGTACTGGAGGAGATTCCAACTGGCTGCCAATACAGGAATACATTGCAAGAATGCAATGTACCTGTCTCAGTGTCAGATCTAAGGAAAGGGTGATTATAGATCTTAGTTTAACACAGAAGATCATTGGTATTTTTCTTTCCTTTTAAACATTGTATCTTCATTGGCGGAAGGGGTGTAAACCTGTCAGTTGAGAAAACCAGGTTCAAAATCTCTCCCCAACCATTAGCTTTATATTTGGCTATAGACAATCCACTTTTCTTCTGCTTGTTGCTCCCTATCTACAATATGGGTGTGTTAGAATCTACTGATTGGTGCACTTGGGGTAAGGTGTAAATGTGTCCAAATTGTACACATTGCCTGATTTTTATATTCTCATGGAAGAATTTATGCTGATGCTGGTTCATTGGCTTTAGAATGATTTCATTTTTCTTTCTTGTGGTGTGTATTTACATTAAAAATAGTTTCTGACATTGTCAAAGTAACTTTCAGAGAGTTGCATTCATAATAGTGTATCTCCTGGAAGTGTTATTCATCAGGCCAAAGTGAATTTCAGAGAAAAAGCTAGAACAACTGCTGTAGATAATTATTTCTCTTCTGTTTTAGGCAACTCATTTTGATACTTGAACTCTATAATCCTAATGATGTGTATGATTACTTAAGGCACATTGCACTAACTCTCTGTTCAGATAAAGTCTCTGAGGTCAGGTGGATATCCTTCAAGCTGGTAAGTAGTAATGCTTTACCTTAGGCATGATATATTTGGTTTAAGAATCATGGTTTAATATATTTGGAGCATATTTTTTTACCTTCTCTTATTACCTTTTTCATTTCTAATCTTAATCCTTGTTTTTCTGTTACTATATACTGGTTGTATTTAACAAGTGTGTTAAATATCAGAGCCAGTGTGATGTAGTAGTTAGAGTAGACCTTTGGTCTAGATGGGTGGGATAGAAATCCAATATATAAATAAATATATAACAGACCAGAATCCATAAAACGTGGGTTCAAAATCTTGCTTGGCCAGGAAAATTCATTTGGGTGTGTGTGTGGCACTGGCAAAACCACTCTGAACATTATTTCAGGGGCATTATAATTTGGGTGCAGCTTGATGGCACATAATACATTTATTGAATGTATATGTATTACTGAAATTCCTTAAATATGTTTGCAGATTGTGGCAATATTACAGAAATTTTATGTGAACCGTGCAAACTCTCTGGGATTAAATTTCATTAATGAGCTGATTATGAGGTTCCGCCATTGTTCCAAGTGGGTTGGAAGACAAGCATTTGCCTTCATCTGCCAGGTAGGTCGGCCTTACTTACTTCTCGTAGTCTTTCTTGCTTGGCTGGATGGTGAATAAAGAATCAAACTCTGAAGTCAAACAGCTGGGAACGATGCATAAGCTGCTCTGAATTATGTGGAAGAATCAGATATAAGTGAACACTGGTGAAAGGCAAATAAATAAATAATGAATTAACATAATGGGACAAAGTTTCTTATTTCTAAATCTGTGTCTCTATAGATAAATGCTTAAATTTGCTTCTTTTAATTATAAGGAACTCCTATAGCGATTTTAAATTTGCTTCTTTTAATTATAAGGAATTCCTATAGCGATTTGTGTGGGGTTTTTGTTTGTTTGTTTTGTATCCATAGCACACAAAATCAGAGGGAGTATTACTTGTCCCCATGGATCTTTTACACCAGTGGTCCCCAACCTTGGGCCTCCAGATGTTCTTGGACTACACCTCCCAAAAGCCTTCACCATCACCTCTGCTGGCCAGGATTTCTGGGAGCTGAAGTTCAAGAACATCTGGCGGCCCAAGGTTGGGGACCAGCTCTCTAGTCCTTTGTTGTAGTACCATTACTGGCTGTGGCCAAGTACCCAGTGGGCTGCGTACTTGGCCACAGAGCCCAAGGCTGGGAGTTCAATTCCCAACGGTGAGTCCCACAAGAAGAGCCAGTCTGTGTAGCCTCAAGCCAGCTGCACAGTCCCAGAGCACCCCCCAGAAGAAGGGAATCGTAAGCCGTTTCTGAGTACTGTATACTATGAAATCCTGGAGAGGCTTGCCATAAATTGAAACTGACTGGACTATATATAATTATTAAATTAATATCTGTAGTACCGTTACAAAAAGGTCCTCTGCCTCATACTCCCAGATTTTACTACTTTACATAAATTGCCGAGAGCAAAATTCCATCTGCTGATCTTTTTTCTGTCTACTGTGATGAATATCTACATTTGCCAATTAGGGAACTAATGCCAACAGTGACTTGCCTGTAGTCAGTTTGGTATCTTCTCTCATAGACAGGGCAAACGAGTGCTCTCTAGAACTTGATGAAATAAATAAATATAATATTTCTACTGAAAATGAAAGGGTGTTTTGCCAGCTAAATATTTCTTATTGCAGGCAGTGGTGGAAGAGGAATGCATGCCTGTCGACCATTTTGTTGAGCACCTGTTGCCCAGCCTGCTCAGTCTGGCTTCTGATCCGGTGCCAAATGTAAGGGTTCTGCTTGCTAAAGCTCTGAGGCAAACACTGTTGGAGAAAGGTATGTTAATTCCTTTCATTCATAGACTATTTTCTCTTTTAGTAAGATCCATAGTTTCATAGTAACATTGCCTTGCAAGGTTGCTGCTTCTATAAATCAGTGCAAACCTGAGGTTTACAATTGGGCATTACTGTGAACAAAACCTTTTGGAAAGTTTGTTAGTAATTTCACATATATCTGCACACATCTGTCTTTTGTGTAATGGCTTGGCCACTTGTGTAGCAGTGTAATCCAGCACAATTGTGGAAAGCAGGGCTTACCACTCTGCAACCCTTTTGCTGGATTTATGGCATTGTTTTTAATAGCTACAGATCTTCAAAGGGACCAGGTAGTGAGACAGAAATGTTGGATAAATAAAATTTAATAATAATATATAAAATAGGTTTGTTCAGAGTGATGTGGTTCCGACTAAAACTTTCTCCTCCTCTCCCATATTCTAGCATATTTTAGAAGTGTGGGCAACCCTCATCTGGAAGCTGTTGAAGAGACTGTTCTTGTTCTGCAAACAGATAGGGATCAAGATGTTTCATTTTTTGCCACGATCAAACCAAAACCCAACAGTATACACATTACTTCACTTGAAAAACAAAATTAATTTTGCTTGTTTCTGCGGACCAGAAAATGATTACTCAGCTTACAGATTTCTGCTTTGGCTACTAACCTGGTGGAAGACTGTGTCACGTATCCAATGCAACCCAAGGAGAAAGGGCTTGTTCTTTATTCATGTACTTAAACGAGGAACACATTGACCTTTTATCAAAAAACTGGCAATAGTGATATGAAATACTCATGAACCATACAGTTTCTAGATGTTTTTTTCCCTCTCAAGAAGGTTGGTATAATGTTTGTCTCTACAAAGGTTCAGTATTGTACGTAAACAGTCATTTGAATTAATACACATTCACAACGTCTGCATCGTTCCAGAGATCAGGAATATGTCTTTCTAATAAGCTCACTCAAAGACTCAAATTAGTTGCTTGGCTACATTTCAGTGTGCCATCCAAGCTTAGAGCTATTCTAGCTGGTGAACATGAAAAATGTGGACAGTTTTACTCATTTTGTTGTAAATTGTTCCATTGGTTGGTGACATCCCCAAATCACTCCAAGTATGTATCATACGGTCCAGAAATATGGCTAAGGATTCAGAAAATATGAATTTTACCTGTTACAAGTAATTTTTAAAAAGTACAGCACAGTTGTCTTGTTAGAGAAAAAGTAATTTTCAGAGGTCTGTCCCCCTTCTGAGAGTAGATGGCTATGTTTTTAAAATGACAGAGGGCTTCACTTTATGAATTTGTAGCACTGTGTATGCACATGTGAGTGTTAACTTAAAAAAATGTCATAGTGGTAACTTATTTTCATTCCTGCAATTAACCCACAGCACCTTTCTGCTGGAGCTGTGATATATATGCTTCTAAGTTACATTACATTTCTCAAACAACTTAATTCTGAAGTAATTCTTGTATAGTTATTGGAGTTACTCCATATTAAGTGGTTTTGAGGTTTCTGGGCATAGATTTGTTCTGAAGTTTTGGTTTTCTTTGGAAAATACAGAGTGAGATCGGAAATATAAATTCCCTAAAAATGCATACCTAGTACTGGTTTATGAATGAAGCTCAAAGCTCAGGGCATCTGGGTTTCTGTCCTCCTGCTAATGAAAGCTGTTCATTTTTGGAAGGTCTTTGGAAGTTTTGTTACAGAGTGTGGTATCCAGCCGCTTTACCTGTGTTCACATAGGATTTTTTAAATCTTTCTCTTGACCAACTGCATTCTCTATCAAAAAAACTGCTTGCAAAGTCTAGAGCCTTTCCAGAGCAGTATTCCATTTGGTATGAGGCCCAAAAAAAATGTCTTCTATAGCCATCCAGAAGAGAAAAAGATGAATCTCTCTGTATGTATATTTTCCATGCGTTCACGGACTTCTCAGGATTATGACCATTCTGGTTTTTTGGTAGAAATGGGGATTGAAGTAATATAATGTCACTTTTCTGTGATCTCAGACAGAATACAAAAAACCAAACATACCACCCAGAAGTATAAGTGGGAAAGGAAGGAACTGGTTGAGACAAGTGTAATTGGAATACAGCTAACATTATATTATGTGTTTGGAAGCCTTGGGGTTAAAATGAAACACAAGGTTGATTCATATTGTGTTCTTTATTCAGGAATCGTACTAATACCCTGTCTTTAGTTATGTATGAAAATGTGACCTGCAAAAACGCAATACTTGCAACGTTTCTTGAAACTCCAGGAATCAGAACCCCAGATTATATGGTTTGTACAGAAGATGATGATGTATAGGACTTAGATGCTCATCAGGAATCATTCAGAGTTCTGTTTTTAATTGTTGAGGTTACATAGTGTGAATTTTCCATAGAACCATTACAAAAAGATCTTAAGATTTGTGAAGCAATATCCTCTTCAGGTTTTTTACATGAGTGTGCAGCCATTAAGCATTTAAATGGGGGGAAAAAAACCTTCAGAGGGAACACTAATCTTTTGGATCTTTCCATTAAGTAGTTGTATTGTCTGGATTGTTGGCCTAATTCTTGATATGTTTTCTTGATTTTAAAAAATTGGTTTAATTTGCCACAATTGCCTACCAAAATCTGGACATAATCACATGAAAGATTCTGTTCCAGACTGCAATACAGTGTTTAGCATTTGTAATAACATTCATTGCTCTGCGAGATCCTACAGCGCTTTTAGAAACAATCTAGAAACGTGTCCTTGCTTTTTCAGTATGCCACGCCTAAACTCTGTTAATTCTGCAAGGTGGTTCTACACTTAAATTTTTTAATGTGTTTAAAACAAAATGCCTCCTCAATGCAAATGATTTTTTATGACTGCAGTTGCTCAACAAAAGTACCAAATTTTTTGGTAGTTTTATTATCTTTTTCTAATGCTAACATTATACAAGTATTTTTTAACAGTTCAGATTTTTCTAAAATTGTTCTAACCAGGTTTTGTTTGTGTTGACCATTACAGGTCATTAATTTTTTTCAGCACTGATCATAATTTTTTTAAAGTGTACATAGAAATGTTTGAGTAGAACTGTATATAGTCTGCTGTTTGGACTTTAAAAATAAAGTTTTGGCTGCCGTGTTAAGTTTTATATTGATAGGTACCCTTTGCTACACTAGCCTACTACATACCATAAGCTTCCAGGGGCTTTTGTTTCATGAAGTTATTGTTTAGCTAGTATGATTTATGCATGAGTAAACTGTTTAACTAAATTTTGCTGAAATTACAGATCAACTTTGTTTTTGTTTGTTTGTTTGTTTTCATTAAAAATCAGCACCTTTTCCTAAATCCAGGGGTTTTTGATTGTTTTTAAAATTACATTTTTGTTAAGTTTTTAAAAGGTGTTTAAAAACCCATAGTTGCATGCACTAGAGAAGAGAATTCTGGGCACTTCTGTCCAACGTTCACTTTTCACATTTCTTCACCTTCTAATCCTTCTTCATCCTGCATTGATGTTTTTGAATATGAATTATTATAGGCAGCGGATGTAAGTTGCAAAAAACTGCACAGGCACAACCTCCATTTATTTAATGTGGCTTGTCTGTAGTTTCTACATAAATGCCACTGAAATGTATGCAGCAGCCATTGTTGAATTGTTCCCCAATACAATGTATGCATGCCTAGATGACAGCACCTTATTACATCCCTACTGGAAAAAAAACCCAAATGTATGTAATTGAGAGTGAAGCACCATAATCCTAGAAATGATAATGAAAAACACACAGTGAGCAAAAGTTGGTATGTAGTTGCCTCAGGAAAAAAAATGGCCAGGTTTTCCCTTTTAAAACATGTTTCACTAAGGATAATGAAAAGAAACATTAGTAGTGCAATTTTGAGATACTGAGCACTTGTAATCCAAAGCACGCCATTTATTTTTGCCTAGAACTCAACTCAAATATGTTCTTATTTGCTGCACATGGTTCTAAATTGGGCATCTCCAAGAATGCTGCTCAAGTGGCAGTTTGCATGTAAAGGATGGTGTTTAAGGACACTCCGAAAGTGCCACTGACTCTGCCAGAACATAGGACTGATGTAACTTTCTGTTCATATTTATCTCAATAAAACCCGTGTCTGTTTTATCAAACATCTTGTCCCTTTGTTTATTGACTTGAATGAAAATGTGGTAAACTATTTTGAACTAACAACATGTAAATAGCACACAGTTAAAAAAACATTCCACATATCCCAGTATCTCATGCTGGAGGATGAATGAAAGGAAATCTGATTGAGCTGCTGCTTTTCAACACAGCCTTTATTCACTTAGTTTATCCGAGTTTTGAACTGGCAGGCAGAGTCTCCATTCACTTAACCTCTTGAATGTGACAGGAAGTTATGATTCCTGAGCTAGCATTCATTGGCTAAGTCACAGCGGTTCCTCACATATCCCAGTATCTCATGCTGGAGGATGAATGAAAGGAAATCTGATTGAGCTGCTGCTTTTCAACACAGCCTTTATTCACTTAGTTTATCCGAGTTTTGAACTGGCAGGCAGAGTCTCCATTCACTTAACCTCTTGAATGTGACAGGAAGTTATGATTCCTGAGCTAGCATTCATTGGCTAAGTCACAGTGGCTCCTAATAAAGATGGGGACAAATATAAAAATGGATCTTTTTTTCGATGAAAATAGCCGATCTGTTAAATATTTGTTGATCCGTATTTGTCAAATTGTAAGTCTCGACGAATATGGCTTGACGAATATTTCTCCATTTTATTCATCCTTCATATTTAAAACAAAAAAACATTCTGCCTACCGGCTGCCGATCAGCTGATTGGCGGGCCAATAGTCAGACAGCTACCCCCACAGCCAGCCAGCCCAACTGCTTACTCCCCAGCTCCTTCCTCAGCCCCCTGCCCCACCCCTGCCAACACCTCCTTACTGTAATCGCTGCTGCTGAGGTCATCTGGCTTCTGCAGCCATGGCATGTACAAAGGGAGACTGTCCTTTGCAAAGATGGCTGCTGCAGTTTCCTTTAGGGTAGGAAGCTGCAGCTGCCAACTTTGCAAAGGAGGTGGGGGCAGGGGTAGTTTTTTAAATAACCCCCCCGTGAATGTTTTGTTTTAAATTTTGACAACTCACTTTGTGTGGGAAATACCACAGGAGACATCTTACCTTTAACAACTTCGTCTTTATTAATAATGGGTAGATCAACATTATTCATGATAGGGTCAAAAAAGCTCAATTCCAGCAACAGGCCATAACTGTCCATCACACAGTCTGGTCTTCCATCTGCTGAACTTAGAGGGGTGCTGGGCCAAACGTCTCGGCATCTGTCGGCTTCCGAAGGGATGCACTCCGTACTGCACAAATGGTGCCGCAGCATGGATGTCTTGCCAAGTCTCCTTGAGGAGGAGGGGTATTGTAACGTAAATCTGGTCTTATCACTTGCTGCCCGCGCCCCTTATTCTTGGGGAAGACTACCACCGACCACTCTAAAGTTTTGTACTTCACCTCTCCACTCTCCTTTGGTACTGGGTCGGGTAACAGCCCTCCCAGCTTCAGATTGGGGAAATCCCTTAGCAATTCCTGAGTCTTCACTCTTTTGTACTCCCTCAACCTCTCCAGCTCCCTCTTCCTCTTCCACAACTCCAGTTCCACCTCAAACCAACGTTCCCCCTGGCTACTTATGCTCTCTTGCCAAACAGACAACTCTTGCTCCATCCCTTTCTTGCCCTCGTGCTCCTCTACTAAACTCACTTCAAATTTCCCGCTTCTTTCCCCTTTTTCCTCTGTCACCGTGTTCTCTCTCTCATCCTCCTGTTCGTGCTCACTCTGCTTTCCCCCTCCCTCCTTTCCCTTATCTTCTGGGGACGGCACACTCTCCTCTGTGACTCCTTCACACCCACCCACGAACTGACGAATAACTTCATGGGGACAACTTCGTGGGTCATCAACTTTTGATGACTCATGAAGTGGGACTACTCACCAAAATTGTGAGTCGTCCCCATCTCTAGTTCCCAACCTTGGGACTGCTAGTGTTCTTAAGCTACAACTCCCAGAAATTCTGACCAGCACAGCTAATAATGAAGGGTTCTGGGAGTTTTAACCCAAGAACACCTGCAGTCCCAAGGTTGGGAACCACTGTGCTAAGGGAATGAAAATGGCACTGCTAGTTTTCAGATGTGTGTCCTAGCTACAACATGACATCACACAGGCTCTGCCTTGGTGATTTACCAGTCATGCATTGTTCCTGTGTCATGACATCATTGTTACATCTTAAAGATTCAGATTGCAGTGATCAATGGTCTTGTCCTGAGGATGCCGAGGAAGAAGAGGCATCCTGACATCCTTTCCCAAACCAGGACAGGGCTAAGTTCTCGTCTCACTGCCCTCTCTCGGGAGCGGTTACTGCGTTCAGGGGAGTTTGGATCAGCACAGATCCGTTGTTTCAACCTCAAACTGTACATTGTGGAGACTGATGAACTTTTTGTAGTGCCTGATTGTCAACGTGAATTAACAATAAAGAATTTGAAGAGCCGACTAGAGCTGTTGGTTGGAATACCCATACATTTCCAGCGACTTCAGTACCTGGATGAAGGTGAGGTCCCTTTAGAAGGTGAAAGATAGCATATACTGTAAATAACATAAACAGATAAATAATTTCTTTGGCCAAGATACAAAGACATATTTCAGAATCACACCAGCTAATCTGGAAGCCCACTTCTAGAAATGATCAGTTTCTAATGCTCTCCATTTTTTTAAAAAAAGCAATCCTGCATTCATCATTAGCTATTTGTGGTAAGCTTGTGGTATTATGGTATGTGGCTTCTATTCTCTAGACCACAAAACATGTAGAGAGCTGTACTCCAGTGGTTAGGAGGGCATGACCAGAAATGACATGACACTTACAAATGTGATTTGTTGGAATCTTTATATAAGTTAAGTGCAAAGAACAGGGAGAAATTGTGAATACCTTTTATTAGTTTTAAAAGGGTGGAGCATTTTGTAGTCAAAGCAGCAGTTTTCCACAAAGAAAACAGTAACATTCACCAAAATCAAACCAGATATTACGTGCAGAAGTCTCTCTTTGTGTGAAAGAAATCCTGTTGTGTAAATGATGTAACTTGCAGATGAGAACTATAAGTTAAAAAAAATTGCAAGCATTATCTTTTGCACAGGTTGCACAACTGTTTGCATAATTGCACAACATGATTTTAGTGAGTACATCCTATCCCTCTGCTGTTTACACATCACTCAGAGCAACTCACTAAGTTTAAAACCATGATGCATTATAAAACAGTGCATTTAATAAAACAGTAAAAGTACAAAGGCAATACAGTGGTGCCTTGACTTACGAACTTAATTGGTTCCAGAACTCTGGTCATAACTCAAAATGGTTGTTAAGTCAAAGCACCATTTCCCATTGAAATGCATTGAAATGCAATTAATCCATTCTGTCCGAAGAAAAATATAACAAAAAAAAATCACTGCAAGGCCCATTGGAAACGTGAATCCCTTCTGGCTGAAGGGGGGGGGGGAGAGAAAAGCAATCAAGCATGCAAAACCCATTAGTAATGCAAAGAAAAAACAAAAAGCAAGTGAAACAAGCAGAACACATCGGAAATGCAAAGAAAGCAAAGGAAAAAGCAAACAGAGCACATCAGAAATGCAAAGAAAACAAAGCAAAAAGCAAGGGAAGCATGCAGGACCCATCGGAAATGGGGGGGAACCCAAAAAGCAACCAAACCCCCAAGACCTATTGGAAATGGGGGAAAAACCAACCAACAAACAAACCCTCCAAACCCCATCACAGCACAGAAACATAAGCCCCTCAGCCCAAAACCACGCTGCAAAACCCACCCAGAACAGTTTTTAAAAAGCAGAAAGCAGCACCTTACCTTACCAGGCAGTCCGAAGCCGCCTCTGCTCGCACACACTCTATCAGCTGGGGTGAAAGAGCTACAAAGAAGCAGCCTCTTCACCACCAACAGTTAGCAATTTAAATTTCCCACCTTTTTCCCCTGCCTTTTTGTGTTCGTAACTGTAAGCTCTGGCCGCAAGTCGAAGCAAAACTTTGTGGCCAGAGCTGGTCGTAACTCGAAATGGTCGTATGTCGGGACATTTGTAAGTTGAGGCACCACTGTAGATTCAAACAGGCAGGATATAAAAAAACCCTTTGAACACAGTAAGCACTTAACAGGTTAAAAGCCTGCCGAACCAGGAACGTATGTTGTAACTACCCAAAGACATGCAGTATGTCACAGAACTGAGTATACTCCCCCACACTTCATAAATATTTTAATATTTCTTTTCATGTGAAAACTCTGAAGAAATGACACTTGGCTACAACCTAAAAGCAGTGAGTATACAGCTTGTATAACAGTGTAAATGTGCTGTCCCCTCAAAATAACGCAACACACGGCCATTAATGTAGCAACACACCTGGCAACCAAAATGAGTACACCCCTAAGTGACAATATCCAAATTGCATATCTCCAGACCTAAAATATGTGGGGCACTCCTGAAACAGAAGGTGGAGGTGCGCAAGGTCACTAACATCCACCAGCTCCATGATGTTATCATGGAGGAGTGGAAGAGGACTCCAGTGGCAACCTGTGAAGCTCTGGTGAACTCTATCCCCAAGAGGGTTAAGGCAGTGCTGGAAAATAATGGTGGCCACACAAAATATTGACACTTTGTGTGCAATTTGGACATTGTCACTTAGGGGTCTACTCACTTTTGTTGCCAGCTGTTTAGACATTAATGGCTGTGTTGCGTTATTTTGAGGGGACAGTGCATTTACATTGTTATACAAGCAGTATACTCATTGCTTTTACATTGTTGCCAAGTGTCATTTCTTCAGTGTTGTCACATGAAAAGATAGACCAATATATTTATGAAATGTGAGAGGGTGTACCCACTTCTGTGATATACTGTAGATGGGGAGGGCACCTGCATCCAGTATGGCCAATGGCGTTACAGTCCAAAGCTGCACTTTGCCACATCCGCAGTAGTCAGGTTTTGATGTAACAAAAGAATGTGTTGCCATTCAGCTAAGTGAGGAAAAAAAGGTTGTGCAATCAATGCTTTACATATTATACCGCTGTCCATTCTCTCTCAACCAACTGCCTCATTTTGGTTTTTCTGCAACAGTGGATCTTGATGATGCGTCAACTATAAAGCAGAACGATATTATCCCGGGGGGAACTCTCACTCTGCGGATCTGGTCAGAGGACGCTTGGGGACGCTTGGTCATTGCAGCTGCAAAAGGAAAGATTGGAAAGGTTGGTCTGATTGTTCCACTTCTTGCATGGAGGCTCTGTTTATCTACCTTGCAGAATCTTAGCAATTTGGTGCCAGTAACTGCTTTAGGATTCAGACACTGGTTTGTGTAAGGTCACAAAATGAGAAGGATAGCAAATAGCCTTAGAGAAGTTAAAGAAGGCAGTCACACACAGAGAAGGATGTTTGCCAGCAGTGCTCCTGATGGGCGACTAGAAAAAGAAGACTTTGAATAAGACTGCTCTGCCCCCAGGAGGACTGTGTTTTATTAACCTTACAAACTCACAGATAGTTGACAGTACAGTGGTGCCTCGCTTGACGATTGCCCCGCATTACAACAAATCCGCTTTGCGACGATCTTTTTGCAATCGCAATTGCAGTCGCAAAATGATAGTCTAAATGGGGGAATTTCGCTTAGCAATGATCCGTTCCCTGCTTCGGGAACTGATTTTCGCTTTACAGCGATCAAAAACAGCTGATCGTCAGGCTTTCAAAATGGCTGCCGGGTGCTTAAAATGGCTCCCTGCTGTGCTTAGGGATGGATTCCGTGCTATACAGGCAGTGAAAATGGTCGCCATATGGAGGATCTTCGCTGGGCGGTGAGTTTTTACCCCATTGGAATGCATTGAACGGGTTTCAATGCGGTTCAATTGGGTTTTTAATTTCCCTTCCAGCTCTGTTATTAAACATGAAAAATTCCAACTGTTCTTCCACCTTGCCAATGATCTTGGAACTCCTTTTGGAGTCTTTTAAAATAATGAATAAATACCTGATGTGATTTTTCACATCTGCCTTTGCCAGCTGCGGGCCATAGGAGCTACGAACACCTCCACGTTTAGCACAGCCAATGCGGATCTCATGGGACCGGAAGCGAAGAGCGAATGGCTAGCACACCGAGCATTTGTCGCCTTGTTTATCACTGTGCGCCGGGGCCACTCGGAAGCTGTGGAATTCCTGCTTCAAAATGGTACTGTAGTATTCTAAATTCAGAAAGGGGCCCTTGTTGCTTCAGAGTCTGCTAAAAAGTACTTGCTGTATATGGACAATCTCCCTGCGCCCAACTAATGGAAGAATCCATTATGGGGCTGAATCCCATTTGCTTGCCTCTCTCTAATTTCAGAGAGAAGATCAAGCTTGCCTTTTAGGCCTTCAGTGCCCAGAATCTCTCAGCCAATATGGATAGTGTTCGGTTAGGGTGATACTGTGGGTTGTAGTCCAGAGAACAGGCGTTGCAAACACTCATCTGATTTTCACAAGCTGCTTCTTCTCTCTGAAATTTTCATAACTATTCTTCTTTCAAGAGCTGGACATTTTTTTGAAAAGGGGAAGGAAGGGGAGAGGCACTGTGTTGTAGAGGATTGTGTGCCCTTCTTTCTTTGAACAAGGTTCTCAATCCTGCATGGAAAACCATCTCTGAGGACTGAAGTTCTGAAGAGTCTCAGAAGGGACTCTCCTAAGTTCACCTACCCATGAATTGGAATGAGATGTTTTAGAATTGGTAGCATAATAGCTTCCACTGTTTTGGTTTGCTGATGATGTCACATTTCACCCATACCTTGTTGCTCCATTTCAAGACAAAAGCAACACATCCCTTGATTCAAGCAAACCTGTTTTATCACACAGAAAGGGTCAAGTTCAGCTCGCTTCCAGTGGTGCTGATTTTCCACTTGCAGGGGATTTTTTTTTTTTTTAAAAAAATAGGGAATTGTTTCTCTCCGAGTTATAAAATGGACAGTGCATTTAGGCCAGGGCTGGAAAAGTTATGTTTTTTTGGATTACAAAAGCAAAGTGTGCTGCTTAGATACCGTCCCATAGTATTTAAAGCATTCTCTGTGTGGTTTATAAGTACACATTGCGGCCCCCATGTGTGGTTTATAAGTACACATTGCGGCCCCCCACACCCAGTAAACTGGGTATTCATTTTACCAACCTCGAAAGGATGGAAGGCTGAGTGAACTTTGACTAGCTACCTAGGATTGAACCCTGCAGTACAATTCCCAGGAACCTTTAGCCAGCATGACCAGGATCTCAAAGCATGCATAGTTTCACCGAATCATCTTAATCTCTGCCTGCTGCATTTGTAGTCATCAAAAAGTAGTTACAGATTCCTCTCCAGACATCTCCAGATTTCCAGAGGTTTGGTAGTTGTGTTAGTCTCTTGCAGGTACTGCCAGTGTTTAATCTGTAGATATAGGCTGGCTGAAAATGGAGACCAGCAGAGCTTATGGTTTCAGCTGAGTTCTTTTTTAAAAAAAGAAGATGTGCCTGAACTCAGGGCTGTTAAATTTCTCAGCTGTTTTTATTTTTCTCTCAAGGTGCTGATGTGAAACGTAAAACACCCCTGGGCCGAACAGCCCTTCATGTGGCCGTCACCTCGGGCCATGTTGACTGCATAGACATTCTTCTTAACTATGGAGCCAGGGTGAACGAAGAAGACCATGAAGGGTATACTCCCATAACCTTGGCTCGCCTGTGGGGACAGAAGGATTGTGAGCGAAGGCTTTTCCGGTACCAGTGGAAGATGCGGTCAGGTGGAACCAGCAAGCCCCGACTGGATGAGAAAGTTGAATCTTGATTCTATGCCTAAGATGCAAAAGGTGGCACTCGGTGTGGGTTCTAACTACATGTTCGTCTCCAAAATGTGGGCTTCAAATGGTTTAAATGCAAGATTTGATATTATTTTTTTAAAAAGAAGGAGCAAAGTGGCTATGTAAGAGTTGGTTACATGAATCGCAGTGTTCTTCTCAAGCAATTAGAAACTGCACATTCTTCTCAATTAGTACATAGGAGCTTGGTACAAAGTATGTGCTTCTGACAGCCATTGGAAAGCAGTGGATATAGTGTCAGACTAGGAGACTTCTGTTCAAATCCCGACTCAGCCATGGAAACTCACTGGGTGGTGTCAATGGTAAAAAAAACCACTGGTAAAAAAAACACACTGGTATATCCCACATAACTTGGAAACCCTACTAGGGTTGCTATTAGGGTTGCAGCTATTTGTATACAAATGTGAATATCCCCGCACAGCTGGAGTTAACGAGGGTCCAGCCCCTTGGGCCGGACTGTCCATTCATATGTCTGCACCCCTCCCCCGCTCATCCTTCCAATCGCTCCCGAGCGCCATTCTCTTCCTGGTCGTCTAGCCACTCCTGGCAGAGGGAGGGAGGACAAGTCTCCCTGCAATGTTGCTGAGCAGCTAGCCAAGCAGTGCTCTCCAGAGCAATTGGAAGGAAGAGAGGGGCCGCCACTGGATGTGTGAGTGGACAGTCTGGCCCCAGGGGCCAGACCCTCATTAACTCCAGCTACTTGGGGATATTCGTATATAAATACAAATACCCTCACCTGTACTTGCCATACATGAGAATCCACTTAAAGCAAGGGTCAGGGAACTTTTTTACCTTTTACCCTCCCGCCCCAAATTTATATAAGCCAACATTACACCCTTGACATGAAAGGAAATGATACAGAAAATGATGAAGCCACCCTTTTTCCTGCCTTAATTCAAGCCTTGCCTGTTCTTTTCATAGTTTTGAGTCAGTCTCTCTCTCACTCACTCACACACACACACATCACCCACCCACACTCCATCCATCCATTTTCTCCATCCATTTAAATAAGCTTGATGAAGCCCTCCGTCTCTCACACATTCCTTCTCTCGTTAACTTGATCTTTCCCCTCCTCCTGCTTGCAGTCATTTCCAGCGCTATTCCACACCTGTAACCAATCAAGCAGGCTTATCTCTTATCTCTGAAAGAACAGATTTACAAGTGCCCTGCTGCAACCAAGGAAGTAACAGGGAGAGGTGGTTTACAATTTGAGGTTTGGCTGCAGGGGGTGGGGGTGGGAGTGGGGGGGGTAGAGCTCTGCTCATTTCCCCCAGGATTTTCACTTTTACCCCATTTGGGGTAATTTACCCCTGTTCCCTGACCACTGACTTAAAGGCACATAATTTGTCTTTGCAGCCATTGGATATTCAACCTGTGGCCTGTCTGGGCCAGGGCTAGATGCCTCTTGATTTCTCAAAAGAAAGGAAAACAAAGATATCACTACTAGAGACGGGCATGAACCTTCCCTTACCCCTAGCCTGTCCAACTCCTCCATTCACCAGCTGGCATGCACCGTTTTTCTTCTGCTCTTCATGCAACCATCCAGTTGCAGTAGAAGCATGGACTTCCCTTCTCTACTTCCTCCAGTAGCCGTCTCCTCAGATGAGGAGGCGGGGCACGGATTCCTGCGGTGCTGCTTTTGAGTGGACAACTTCTGGAGGAGGTGGACAAGGGAAGTCTGTGCTCCTGCTGGACAGTCATGCAAAGAACAGGAGAAACGCAATGCGCACCTGCAGGTCAGTGGGGGAGCCAGCTGGGGAGGGGGAAGGAAATTTGCAGCACTTCTGGTGCTGTGGCTATGAGCCGGCACAAACCTCCAAACCAAGGTTCATGTCCATCTCTAATCAGTACTATAGAAGGATTATTGCATTTTCTCACTTTCTTCCCTGTCTCACCTTCTTCTCTAAAGCTCGGTTAGTTACATTGCTAAACCAAGGTTCATGTCCATCTCTAATCAGTACTATAGAATGATTATTATTGCATTTTCTCACTTTTTTCCCTGTTTCACCTTCTTCTCTAAAGCTCAGTTAGTTACATTGCTGGAACTGAGTGTGCGTGCATGTGCAGATGAAAGCCTGCACTCCTGTATGGATTTTGAGTGGTTTACGTCATGATGATTCTTCTTCATTCATCTCAAAACATGTCCATCTCTAATCAGTACTATAGAATGATTATTATTGCATTTTCTCACTTTTTTCCCTGTTTCACCTTCTTCTCTAAAGCTCAGTTAGTTACATTGCTGGAACTGAGTGTGCGTGCATGTGCAGATGAAAGCCTGCACTCCTGTATGGATTTTGAGTGGTTTACGTCATGATGATTCTTCTTCATTCATCTCAAAAGCAATCCAATGGTGCTTCTGGGGTGGAAGGATGAGCTGGTAGAGTTCTGTTAAAAAAAAAAAAACACTGGCAAAAATCCGGGTAACACATTCTGCCGAAGGTGTTAACTGCCTGAATGTGTTAACAGTCCTCAAACACTTGGGGGAGGCTCCTTCTATGCCCCCTGTTTTAGGATGCTGGGGCCTGCCTTTCTCCTCAATCTATAAATTCTGATTCCTCTTTTCTGCTTGGTGTAGTGATGTCACTGTCAAAGTTCATAATAGCTTTCTCCTTTTCTTCTCTTCTTTGGGCTGGGAGTGGGCAAATAGTTCTGCTAGAAACAATTCTGATGGTGCTTTATATTACTCCCCCAACAGTCCTGGCACACCCATACTGGCATGAACCTGACCGAGAGTCAGGTTAGAGTAATTCCAAAAGTGCATGGTGTGCGCGTGCGCGTGTGCGTGCATGTGTCTGTGTCTGTCTCTCTCTCTCTCTCTCTCTCTGTGTGTGTGTGTGTGTGTGTGTGTGTGTGTGTGTGTGAGAGAGAGAG